ACAAAACGATAAAAAAAAAACTTTGAGATCACATCACATGACTGATATTGAGAATTAAACTGACAGTGATGCGGGCCTGAACATTACAGCCTAAAGTCGTTGACTTCAACGATAGGTTGTGGATATGTCATATACTTAAGTGTATGAAATTAATGTATAAGATGATAAAACACTCCTACGTTCATCACTTTGCAAACGTATGAATATAATAGAAATACACACACGAGAAAGGTATACATTACCTTATTCCATACTGTGACATCCTCCGATGAATTGTTCTTTCGCACACTCCAAACAACTGAGCAATGTCACCAACGGTGTGACCCAAAATAAGGTGAGCTTCAATCATACATGGAGGTAAAAAATAGGATTTACGGCCAAAGTTAGCCTTCTCGGTTTGTGAGAGGATGTGAAGCTGCTGTATAGCTTGTTGAAGAGCGTCCAGCACAGTTGCATCAAAGTCTACCTCTGGGTCAGCACTGTGATGAACTAAAACATCTAATAGTCTTTCCAGCCTAAAGAGTAGATAGTCCTCAGGTGCATTATGCTCAACATCATTAACATAATTTGCTAATGCTCTTAATTGATGAGCAATGGCTCCTAAAAAACTTACATTCGAAACTGCCATCATACCACACAAAAGTGCACAGAGGATCTCTAGCTAGCTAACAGAGTACCGTAATGTGAGGCAGTAATGATCGAGACCAGAGTTCACGCAATCCTAACCAATCCTGTTCTAGATTGAGTTCAGCACCGCCCACCTAATTAGCATACAGGAACACAAAAATACATAAATAAATAAATGAAGAAATTTAGAAATACACAAATAAATAAATGAAGAAATGTAGCGACACAGAAATACATAAATAAATAAATGAAGAAATGTAGAAATACATAAATAAATATATGCAATAAATGGATAAATAAATAAAGGAAAAAATAAAAATAAAAAGATATTGATAAATAACCTAAATAAAAGTATATTTATTTGATTTCAGAGTAATATTTAGCATATCAATGTAAATATTTAGTTTTTATTGTCCAAAATGAATGTATTTATTAATATATTCCTGTATTTATTTATTTATTTATACTTTAGTCATTTTTGGTCCTCCATAGAACTGTAGTGAGTTTTTCACACATTTCATTAGTTATCCAACATTTTTCAGTGTTTTATCCACATTTGACACAATGGAAACTTCTATACTAGCAGATTATATTCAGAGATGTGTGAGTGAGTGCATGCTGTAATGTATTTTGTAAAATTAATCCGTAATTTAAACTTCTTTTTATACTAACTGTAAAACGGTTAGTATAAAAAGATGCAGTTTAAATTTTACATAATTCCTTTCACTATTGCCAGGGTTGGCTTATACATTTCATAAAACGCAAGGACTAAAGGCTCAATCTGTCTTTTTAGCTCGCTGTTTTTTGTTTTTGTCAAGGAATATCATTACTCGGTTGGTACAAGACAGGAGACACAGGCCTTAGACCTCTGCTTTGTGACCACGAAAACTGATCTCTGTAGACGTACTCTATGGCCACTCTGAAGCTCTCAGCTCAGACAATAGTCCTTTGGAAGAACTAGAAAGGGTAACTCTAGTATAGCATGTCTATCTGTCCTGTAGCATTTCTTTACTAATGTGGCGACCAGACCCAAGACCAAGATAAATGAATGAAAGGAGAAGCCTGTATTGTTGATAAAGTGGAGGGAAGGAGCAGGGGAAGTACTCCATAAATAAAGAACGCATTTATAGAAGGTACAAAGAAAAAGTTGGGAGGAAATCGATGGAGCAGGAAAAGGACTTGGTTTTTCCTAGAATAATGATGGGAGGAAATGCTTGGAATACAAAGTGAGTTCTATGGTGCAGGAATTGTTTGGTTTTGTAACTAGAAAACTGCTTACTATTGGAATCTGTAGCACTTGAAATAGTTGGCTCAAGAAATGCTTTAATGTTTTTAAAAGGGGTAGAATCAAGATGGCGTATTTGTTGATTTTCTTTTCAGCACATGTGTCCTAGTGTGTGGTTCTTGTTGCATTGTAAGGGAGGCAATTATGTGTGAACTCCAGCTGCAGAAATTGTAATTTGACCTGTTTAAAGAAATGCATATGTCAGTTTGCCAGCCCTACCTGGCCCTACTCTACTCCGCACTTTACCCCATTCAGGAGCGAGTCCACCACCAGGCACTAATTTCCTGGGTTCTATCCGGACTAAGCTGGTACTAAACTGACTGGAAGTGTCCAGTGCTACTGGAAGCCATGGCTTCCAAGGAATTACCCCGAATTCTGGTTTGTTGTGTGTGAGTTATTTGGATATGAAACATCGGGTCTTGGATAGCATCAGGACCCTCACCACAGTTTGAGAAACATAGACCATGTTCAAAAACAATCATCCTTTTTGCAACATCTCCCACAAGTGCAAAAAGTCAATGCAGAAGTAACTCCATTTATGCAGACATTCTCTGGTCCTGACACAAAGTCTCCAAAACACTTGTTGCAGAGTGAACACACACACCTCCCCTGCGGAGCGCACCAATCCTCGACATGTTTTCCAACTCAGCAGCATCTTCCTCGGGCCTCTAATAAAACACAGATCAAAGGCAGCCGGGCAGACCTGTCATCACACCCACCAACGACGTGCCGCCATTATGTCAAAATCTGAATCTTCTGTGACTCACGATTCTTCTCCTTTGCGCTCATTAGCCCCGAGAGCCTGCGGCTAATCATATGTTTTGTTCCCGCGCGTCTGTCGCAAACCACTTACCAGGCCGTGGCGTTGTTGACATCCTGGAACCAGGTGATTTACGCAGAACAAGCTCATTTTGCACATTGTAAACCTCCAAGGCTGCGGTAGGAATGCACCTCAGGAATTTGAACCCCTATGCACAAACTTAATCTGGCAGCCCATGATCAATTAACCTTGTTGTCAGTGGAAGAGAAACACATTGTCTCCGCTCGGCTTGACGATAGCTCGTTTTTCAAAGCGCGTAGTGTATGTTAAATCTCACTTACAGCGTCATTCGTCAATGTTGCGACTCCTATGAGACACTTTTAACACTTTGCTCGTCCTGAGACAATACCATGACCCCTGTCTACCCCATAAACGCTACATTGCCCTGTCAAACTCATGACAAATTTTCCCACTAATTTTGGTAGTGTTAACATATGCAGTGATGCAGTGCAAGAGCTTTCTTGTCTGTTTTCTTTGCATACGAAGAGGCAGCAGCTGGGAGTCCTCTCTTGTCTTATTCTCATAGTTAGCCCCCCGTACATTAATAAGCATGAAACCCAAGCGGTCCGTGTGGATAAGGAGGCTCAGGCTTTAATAAAGGCCAGCTAAAGGAGATGAGCAGGCTTCGCTGGCTCTGCAAACACATGCCATGTTTGTCCAGCTCTTTGGTTGTCATAAATACAGGATCCCCCACCGGCGCTTGTGTGGAAGAGCAGCGTGAAATGTTTGACTTGGATAAACAATGGCTGGACAGGACTCCAAACTCAACTTTTTAGTAATGTCTTGATTAAATTATTTTTCAACTCTGATATGCTGCTTTGTTAAATGTATATTGGCTCACATTTGTATGATGTCATGAATATTTAACTCCTGCCTCCAATTGGTCCATGTCTTGAAGTTTGTTATTCGTCATGCACTTTATGCTATATGGCAAATTCCACAGGCAGATTTCAAACAAATGTGATAAATGTATCTATTAATCCTTTAGGCATCAATTTATTTGCAGAAATTTGATCTTACGAGACAAAAGGTGGACTACTAAAACAGAAAATGTATAATGGTGTAAGATGTAGGGGAAATGCAGTATGTCGCTGCAGCAACAGATTCACAAACTCATGAAGCAATTCTACTCCTTTGGATTAAAGGCACTGTATGTAATATTTTTATTTTTTCGTAGGAATGTATTTCAAACATTGTGCAAAAGAAAACATTTCCAATTTTTCTTTTTCATATACAATTGCAGAGATGATTATTTGTATAGGTTGCCAGTTTCTTAGGTGGCAAATTGCAAGTCCCATTTTTACATTCAATGTGAGACCTTGAATGAAGCATATAATGAATGTTGTTTTATTCTGTATCCAACAGCCCAATTTTGGATGACAAAGTGTGGAACTTGGGCATAAAACCTAAACCAGATATTTCACATGTGCATAGACCATTTTGTAGTTTCTGTTTTTGTTTCAATTACACAAACATAAAACACTCCATTGCAAATTTACACCTGGGTTATTTACATGTAGATTTGTCTTGTTCTTTTAAATAAAATGACCAATTATGCATTTGGAAAGGACATGTTTCAGGAACATAATACTGTTTTTATTTTATTACATAGTTTTAGATAAATTACATTTCCAATACACACATCTCTATAACTAACTTTTTCTAATAGTGGTAACCCTCAGGTCTTTGAGATATGTCTGCAATTAGGCGGCGGGTATATGATGAAACGTTTTGGGATTTATTGCTGTAGTTCCTGATTTGTTTTACTTCTGTTTTAATTTTCTCTCTGCCATGATGCAAATCTTACGGTATTACATTTCTGTACAGCTTAATGAAATCGCTTTTCTATGACTTTTATTAGAATCCGATGACTGATTAAATAAACGTATGAAAACACTGCTCCGTGGGAGTTCTGCTCAGCTTTCCTGTCGCGTTGCATTTACAGCACCAGCACCAGCATCCAGCCAGCCTCTTGCTCTGCGTAATCTAAGAGCATCCAAAAAAGAAATGGAAGAAATGACTCTAATTTATGTACATATGCCATCATTGCTCTTTCTAAAATTCCCCCACAAACACTGTGCCGCTTGCCTTGAGTCACGCCGAGACTGGATTTCCTGATTGCATGTTTAGAATGAAAACAAACTGTCAACTTTATCAACAGATCAGTTAATAATGCTGAAGGACTGTGGTGATTGCTATGGCCACTTGTGTTGCATACGCACAAAGCTATGGGCCCGATGACGAACTCACAATGCCCTTTGTCTGCAGGAGATGTCCCTGGTGGGTCCCGAATCCCCCTCCGAACAAGCGCGGAGGGTCTTCCAGTCATTCGACCCTGAAGGTAATAAAAGCGTTTCATACTGTATTTACCGTATGGCGGACATATGATCATTACTCATTTCATTTGCGTTTTTATAGGCCATTTTTGGTTTATTTGCCTATTAATTGAGCGTCTATACCAAACATGCTGCACAGATGTGGCGTAATGAATCCAAATATTTCTCCAGCAGGAAATTGAAAATGGTTATTTTTTGCTCTCCACAAGAGGAGAACCATGCTTCGCTTAAAGTCCTCTCATCTTTGCTGTTGTTGTTCTTGCTCGGTGAGATCAGCTCGTTCAACAGCTGAACCAACCATTCTTCTTCTCCTCATACTCCCATTGTTTTTTCCTGGTTTTTCTTGTCACTTCCAAGGTGACTGGGGCAAAGGTAGAAGGGGAAGTGCACAAAACATGACACAATGACATCAGGAGGGGTAAACGGAGGGTCGACCATGAGGGGGGGCAAACATGTATATCTATAGTCTCAGTATATAGGTCACACTGTTTTATAGGTTGAGTGCACATTGATAAGCAATTAAAGCTAGAATACCTCATTTTAAAACCACCAAAATGAACCTTGTGATCATTCCATGTCACTATAGTTCCTCGCTCTCAATACCATTTAGTTCTATCACTAGTTTTCACATTTTGTATCTGCTCATTCATTAAAACAAGCACGTGGTTTTTTGGTTGATAAATGTTGTTATGAGTAATGGCCAAAACCAAATTTCAACTTACAAACTGGCAACCCAAATGAGACTTCTTCTGCTTTCTGATTGGATAATCTGCTTGAAAATTGTCCAATAACTCCTCTAATCTGTTATTCAGAACATGTTGACCTATTCTCTTGGGGCACATACAACAATGTAGATGATATTTAAAATAAAATCATTACAAACGGTTCCTTCTTAATCAACTTTCTGTTGAGATCAACAAAATAAAACTCTCAAAAAAGTTAGTTATATAAGCTTTAAAGGTGCCTTCCTTAACTGTCCTGCTCCTTAATGTTGTATTGTCTGACAAGACACATGGGGCATCACTCGGCTGAATTACATCTACTGTATCTGTGGAAAAGTCTTCTCATTATAAGAACTCAATTAAGAACTTAAAATCATCCACAAATTGAAGAATATTTATAGCCAAACTGAATGACATTTTGAGCCCAGAAACGGCATATTAATGGAAACAAGCAGGTAGCAACCTGTTTAGGAACTTTGCCAGAGTTAAGGAATTCAACTTTTCGAATAAGTAAACAATATTTTGAGTGTTTAAACCATGCAGTTGTTGAGTATTCTGGTAGAAATAGCCCACTCCATCCTCAGACCTCCTTCTTCATCTTTTCACTACAATTCAAATTATGCTCGTAGGCAAGGCAAGTTTATTTGTGTAACACAATTCATACACAAGACAACCAAAGTGCTGAACAAACAATCACACAGGACATAAAAATCATGGGCTTACTAGATCACAATATACTCTATATTTTTTTTTTTATGTTCACTTTGTCTAATAGATCACAGCTGGTTGTATGATACCTGGACGATACAATTAGATTTAAATGTTTTCTTCTGAAGATTTGAGCTATTTTGTACTGTGGTTGTTCAAATCACCTGTTTACTTCTTTTCCACTGGTGAATGATCTCAGCCACTGAAAATCATTTTAATATATTTAACTATTCATATGAACCCTCTCTAAACTCTGACAACATTTCACATTATGTCTGATCGTGGTTTATGTTGCTATTAGATTATAGAAACGTCTTATTAAACAGACTCACCTCCTTTGTAATTAATTTATCAAGAGTCTCAGCTTTATTAAGTTTTGTCTTTACGAGCCACATGCTTGACCTGAAGTGAACATTGATTGAATTAACCAAGATTAGCTGAACTGAAGCCATAACCTCTCAAGTTTATGAGTCCAGTTTGTTGGACTTGGATGAATCTTGGACCCAGTTTGTCGCAACAAACAACATAATTCATCCTATGGCTCCAACGCAAGAATGCATTTTATTGTTGACATTGCGATCTGCTCAAAGATTGTCCAGCTGGTAGTCCAAATGAAGTTATCACAGCTATTACATTCCTTATGGACGGAGAAAAAAGCACATTGCTAACTTCCTGTTTGTCAATATATTGCGAATCTGTCCCAAACCATATAAGATAAGATAAACTTTTTTGATCTCACAATGGAGAAATGTACATGTCACATTGGCATACATGCAAAAAGACAGGAAGTGTGCAAACATGTTGAAATATAGTCTCTTTTGACCTTTGTCTTTGTATGCCTCTGCTTTTTATTGTATACTTAAAGTCCCAGAGCATCTATGGACACACTCTGAAGTACACTGACTGGAGCTGTGTTGTCTAAAAGCACTTTATAAATATATCTGCGTCGCATATGAAGTAGTGTTGTTGTGGATTCAGGGCGCCAGACGCTCCGGCGAGTGGATCCTCTCTCACTCCTCCGTCCACACATGTCTCTAATATCTGCTCTGTGTCACTGTTTTGTCTGTGCTACGGTGTTCTCATCTCTGTATTCTTATTCACTTGTCACAGCGGCTCGAAACTGAACTCGAAACTTGACTCCATGGATTGTAAATAAATAATACCTTTTGCTTGGCCTTAAAAATTGTGACGTATTGCAGGTTCAACTGTACATTACAGCTGGACCAAAATACCACAAGTTCTCTGATGTATAAGCCAATAATTGGACTATTTAGTGTATAAAGAATTGGCCTTAAATGTTCAGAAGGAATAAAATAGTTTGGACCAATGGTGGGCAAAACCTGACCGGTGGGCCAGTTGCTGCCCTTTGCGCGCTTCCTCATTTTGTATCGATATAGAATAAAGACGATTATTTAGGTCTGGCCGCCAACAGCAGGTGGATATTTCTTTGTAGCCCTCAGCAGAAGGTGTTTGGACCAACAAGCTGCCTAAAGAAACCTCAATTAACTCCAAATAGAATGGCTCTTCTACTATCATACTTGTAGTAACGCAGGACTGTGGATGGCTTTTAGTCTGTTTGGATGGCACACATATATATAGGGCTGGGCGATATGACTGAAAACTATATCACAATATAAGTAATTCATATCGGTCGATAACGATATATATTGATTGTTTTTTATTTATTTTCTAAAACGTAAATAAATACATTTGTCGTGTCGGCTAACACATATTAGCAGCCTTGTTTACAGTCACGGGGGAATGAGGCTGGAGCCAAATGTTCACAAGCAGTCTCCCCCACTTTAGTCCTGGTTTAATCCTCGTTTAGTCCTGGTTTAGCACCTGTTTTCGAGTGTCCTGTGTCCCCGTGGCGGCTCCGGAAAGTTAATCTCTTGCTTTTGCCGAATGCATCGAGTCTCTGCCTCTCCCGCGCCGCACATGCTGTTCCTCGCAGGACATGTTTAACCATTGACACGGCACTGAGACACGATCTTTAGATCCAGGGCTATTATAATAGATCCATGATCCATGGACGCCACGCATGGAGCGGTTGTTTTTTTTCATTCCCAGAAAGTTTTGCGGTTTGTAGTCGGCTGTGATAGGTCGAGAAGTCTCTGCCTACATCCCCCAGAATGCCGCGCGCTTCTGACTCGGCTTCACTTCCTGTGTTTCGTTCCTGTTTTTTTTCGAACGGAGTGAAGTTAAACTATCGAAAGTTCTATCGACCCCGTTTTCTATTGATATCGAACACGTGTCTATCGCAATATATATCGTTATCGTTTTATCGCCCAGCCCTACATATATATTATACTTCTTTACTCATTTCCAATGATAAAGTCATGTAACACCTCCTGGTTCCTACTCTACTGTGGTGGAGAATATTTGATTTACATTTGACCTATTGAATCCTGCTTAAGTAAAACATGAACCAATTGTGTCTAATCTGCTGGTAGACATTAGCTCGTTACAAGTGTAAAAAGTCTGACCTACTACCTTCAAAGTTTTCATAATATTTGATGACCAATGGAATTATGCCCATTTGAAATACAGTGGAGACTAAAAAACATTACATTCAGTTGAACTAGATATCTATTCTTGTAACATCAGCCTGCCGCATCATCAGACAACAGCCCACACGGAGACAAGTCCAAATAGAAGTGAAACACACATGGGTCTGGTTTGGACTACACACATTTGGGGGTTTAATGCCCCTCGTTCAGGTAAAGCAATCATCATGCCAGAGGAATGTAGGTCAGAGAAGATGGGACAAGGTGTGTGTGTGTGTGCATTTAGTGTAAGGTCCAGATGAGCCGAGTCCCAGGACGGACAGTAAATCCCCAGATGTTGCGTGGATGATAGGTGAAGGCAATGGTTTATGTTCTGTGCTCTGCTTGTGCTTTTTCCAGATAATGGGTTCATCCCTGACGCTCTACTGGAGGATGTGATGAAAGCCCTCGACCTGGTGTCCGAGCCAGAATAGTAAGTTTTCTTTTTCCTTAGAGCAGTGTCTCCCAAAGTGGGGTCCGCGGACCCCTGGTGGGCCGCGAGGGTACTGCAGGGGGGCCGCGGGAGGTCATAAAAAAAATAAAAAAATAATATAATTATTTAATGTTAAATTTATAATGTTTTGTTTGTAATATTAAAATATTTGTGTTCATTATTTGACTTGAATAATCCACTGTAATCATTTTTGTATTACAATGTTTGTAGCAGAGGCTATTTCCCCAAAATAAAATAACCAGAAGAGCCTATTCTTAATGTTGTCTTCTTGGTTATTATTTTGGGGGGCCACGCAGACCCGACAGATTTTTAAGGGGGCCTCGGTGTTACTGAGTTTGGGAATGGCTGCCTTAGAGGTATTTAGGAATGTATTTTCCGGAATTCCTGTGTCTTTATACATATGCGCATGTTCACCTGGCCAATCAAGTTTTTATTTTAGTTGTCTAGCAGAGCATATGGGGATGCATGATGAGTCACACAATTGTATGTTTTCCATTAAATCTCAGATTGATTCAAGTGCTGACATGCAGGCAACTGGGACACAATTACCCTACACAATGTGCCATTAAACACAGAGTGACTGTTGTTGAAAATGAACCTCTGCTTTCATGCATACGATAATTTTTTCTAGCTCTGTCTTTTGAAGAGCTGTGTAGTCAGATTTTAAAGTCAAACAGTTCATTCGGGCTAATCAATTTTATTACAAAAAAGGCTTTGATCACAATTCCTTTGCCTTGATTCGCATCTGATATATTTTTTTACTCAAATGTTGCACACCAGTTGCACAGAACTAATTACATCACTTGTTTTTGCCTAGAGCAGTGTCTCCCAAAGTGGGGTCCGCGGCCCCCTGGTGGGCCGCGAGGGTACTGCAGGGGGGCCGCGGGAGGTCATAAAAAAAAAAATATAATATAATTATTTAATGTTAAATTTATAATGTTTTGTTTGTAATATTAAAATATTTGTGTTTATTATTTGACTTGAATAAGCCACTGTAATCATTTTTGTATTACAATGTTTGTAGCAGAGGCTATTTCCCCAAAATAAAATAACCAGAAGAGCCTATTCTTAATGTTGTCTTCTTGGTTATTATTTTGGGGGGCCACTCAGACCCGTCAGATTTTTAAGGGGGCCTCGGTGTTACTGAGTTTGGGAATGGCTGGCCTAGAGGATAGTAGTGATACAAAATAAATCAGTAGGTGCTGCGCTACTTGTCATTGCAGACCTATTCATAAATTAGCCTGTAAAATGCGCTACGAATAAAGACTACTTATCTGCGAAATAATTGCGCTTCAGCTCGGGCATCAACACCCGCATTTGAAGTGTATTTACTGAGCACCATTGAAGTGCAACGCAAAATGATACACATTGAAAACAAAATCGGTCTGTTGTCTGGACAAACCCACAAAGAGAAGAGTATTATTTCACACCACTATCGCCCACTGTTTGAGAATGTGTGTGTGTGTGTGTGTGTGTGTGTGTGTGTGTGTGTAAGGCACCTGTAGCACGTTTCAAGTTTAGAAGTCCTAAGTCACTGCCAGGCCAGGTCAGCAGCCCCGTGCTCATGTTTCACTGCCACACTACTATAAAGTAAGACCACTATAAAAGCCCAGGAAGAGGCTAAGGAGCGAGAAAGCGAGTCCCAAACATGGGCTTAGGGGCAGATCATTAACAGCAGGAAGAGGGAGGAAATCTCTTTTAAGTGGCATTTCACACAGGAGCACTTTCCCATTGGAAGAAGGCTCCAAGTGCTGCTGATCCGCTTGACACACTCTGTATGGCCAAAGCATCACAACAAGGACGGACAAGCCCACCACAAACTGGTTAATAACTATGCCACACATGAGCTGAACATCTTTGACAGGAAATCCTTAGTTTAGCTCTTTAGCAGAAGGAGATTTTCTATACAGCAACCTGACTTCACACAACCCTTTGCCTACATTTATTTCTTACATTTTTCTTTTTATTCATTCCTTCTATTAGTTTGAGTTCAGTCTAGGTTTGAGTTCAGGGCTGCACCTTTTTGTCTGTTTCACAAAAACCCCTTAACGGACAAAATGCAGAAGTGTTGAAGGAGTTGATCAGTTACTATTAAAATGTAAATACATTTTAAAAAAACACAATGGTCTTTTCCTCTGCAGTTATATTTTTGTTATATATATTTCTAAATCAAAACCAACAAATGTGGAAAAAAAAAAAGTTTGTATTATCATTTATAATTTCAAAAAATTGGGGCCAAAAAACTTTATTCTCCTGAAGACACAATTTCTCAGACTTGTATGAATACTGTTTCAGCTCTACTGGAACTACTTTTTACTTCTTTCTCGCAGTCTCAACATATCTTTAGGCTAAGGCCACGTTAAATCCAACTTTATATGCCCTGGATCTCGTCTAATAAAATGAAAAATCTTTGAGGTTGTCACACTCTCACCTTCTATCTTAGCATGAACCAGGCTGCTCTCTGCAACACCTTATAAGGATAATTTGATCTGGCTATTTTTTATCAAGCAAATAAGAATAATAAAACGGATCCAATGTGTTGGAATGTCTGACTGAGATATATTTAGCTGTTCTACAATATTCTTATTACATGCACTTTCCAGACTCTGCTCCCGGTCCTGGTTGTTGTTCCTGCATCTAATGTATTTCTATGTAAGTCTATGTAGTTCTCATAGCAAGTCTTTGGCAGCTGCTTCCATACAGCTCTCACCTCAAGATATAGACAGTCATTGAGTTTTATTGTTGTTTTTGTAGTACCTTTTCATTTTTTGTTTTACTTTGCTCATTTGATTTAAAAACTGGAGCCCATTCAAAAGCTGCACACAATTCTTTAAAATTGGGTTATTCATATGTGATCCCCCCCCATCCCCATTTTTTAGAGGTTAGTTTTTTATTTGACACAAAACACAAGAACACAGGTGAAATTAGGTCAAATCACACTAAACTATCCATTGTAGTGTTGTTTATTTCATCACTGCCTGAAGTTTTATTGTGCAGTGAGGGTCACGAGTTATTATAGTTTTTTGGATCTGAGTTGATAGTTGACTATCTGGATCTTTTCAGTGTCAATTTGGTGAAGACGAAGTTGGATCCAGAGAGTTTGGGAGTGATTCTTCTGGGGCCATTTCTACTGGAGTTCTTCCCAGATCAGGTACTTGTCATACACCACGTATGGACACCGGGATTTAAACTTTTTGAAGTTTATACGGCGCTTGTGGATCTCTCGCTTCTATCAATTTAATTTGCACATCATCCTGTTCAAACCTTGTGTAAACTGGTTAAAACTGAGGCCATCAGAAACATTTGGGAGCACAGGGAAATGCCATGCTTGTATTAGAAATGTACATACACTGGCTTGTGGAAGTGATATTACAGCACTTTTTGTCATGTTTACAACCACTGAAAACTACTGAAAATGATACATGCTTTTTTATTATTAATTAATTTGATCATAACATGAAAGATGTAAATGTGCCTTTGTTCAGGTTAGGTTAGTTGCAGCAAAAGCAGGAAAAATGGTTTAATTGCTTTGCTGAAATTAAGTTTTTATCTATTGTGCGTCACGGCCAAAAGTCCTGGGTTCAATTCCCTTTCTGTGCAGAGTTTGCATGTTCTCCCCTGTATCTACGTAGGTTTCCTCCAGGTTTTCCCTACCACTTAAAACATGTTCAATAGGTCCGGCATGTGACTCTTGCATGGCGACCCCACTTCCATCACCGTGTGGAGTGAGGGGATAAATGGCCACAACCACTTTAAAGGGCTTGTTACTGTCTCAGAAAAATGCCATAGAAATGAAAAAATACTTATTTACTAAATGCCTTGTGGTGCTACGATTGAGGATGTGTGAAATTAAATGCAGATTCAGCATTTCCATATAGATACACTATATATGGCGTCAATTTTATTTACAATGACTATTCCAAAGTTTGAATGCTTTGGACCAGAGAGCTCAGACACGTTTGGGAGCAACACCGAATAGTCCAATTCTTTATTGCGTCTAGTCCGTATTCTCCTGCTTTATGAACGTAGTCACTCACTGCAGCTTCCAGACTGTATGGGAACCTCTGCTTTCCTAAATCAAATGGAGTTTTTACGCCAAAATGCATTTCTGTGGCGTCTCGTGTGAAATCCACGTACACCGTTTTATGATGTGCATAGACTGAATAGTATACGCACCTTTTTTTCTGAGCAGCACATATACGGAGAGGAAAGAGATACAGGCGAGAAGAAATGAGAGGGAGATGGACGGGGGGGGTGGGGGTCAGCGTTAAAGTGATCAGGGATTTGGGGACGGAGCACTGGAGCGAGCCTTGAACAGCAAAAGAATTATACAACCATTAGCCAACTGGACACACACACACACACATACGGCCACGCGGGGATGAGGCCAGGGTTTAGGTTTCACATAAAGGCGTATAAACTTAGAAGGGTCACGCTTTCAGACAACACACCATTAGCATTCTGCACCGCTGAGCCAAACATACTGGAAGTGTTTAAGGCTAGTGTCACTGTCGGGACATTTTTTTGTGTGGTTTATTTTTCAAGGGTGAATCATTCCAGGGTGGGCAAAAAATGTATATGCAGTAGATAAACTTGAAATTCATATGAAGTCACTTTTTACACATTCCTACAACATGATATTTTCTTGTGCTTTAAAACATTTCATAATCATTGCTTTTTGTCAACAGTTTTAGAGACTTCTAAATAGACTGCCACTTAATCCCTAACTAGATACAAAAAAAACAGCAAAACAAAAAAATAGTGTCCGTAAAACCATTGTCAAGTTTGGTACAAGGCAAATAACAATGAATAAACGCATTAAGCAAACTAGAAAGCTCTGATTTTTCCAATGCAGACTAGTGTTCCACTGCATGACCAGGTTTTTTACCATGAAAGGATGTTTAGGACTTAAAGTACCTAACTTGTTTTGGTTTTCATTAGAAATATATTTTCTTTTGTCCCAGCATAGTTCTCTAAAAGTGACTCATTTTGTGAATGTTTTCAGAAAGAGGTACTAGGGACATGATCATTCAATCAGTTTTGTTTTGTTATGAAAGTTAAGGACCCCAGCTTTAAATAAATGCTGTCTTTGCGTTTAACTGAGTCTGGTCAAATTGCAATTTTGATGCACTTAAGCAGATTTGAAACGTTTACAATATTTGAATTACGTGTGGGGGGTTTGTAGTCAAAAAGTTGGAATTCTTACAGTAAGCTGACGTGCCACTTCACAGATATGACCTGTAACTTGGCCATGTGAGGTCTCTAAAGTAGATTGATTAGTTTAAAGCTGTACTTAGAAATCCTTTCCAGGCAGAACAATAGATACACAGAAGAAATGAAATGTTTTTGTCATCTTTTGGTATTTTCACCATGTCAGTTTATGCTTTATATCCTCCATTGTTCATACAGTATACAGAAAAATGACACATTATACGTTTTTCCATACCATAAAAACATTTTCTTTGGTTGCAGATCATATTCCACCCGCTTTTACCCCCACACCAACATTGTCACATACATTAAACTTTCACAGAGGATTTAACATGGCGCTTCAGTTACAGTTGGAGACCTCCTGTTGATTCCCATGTTCTTTGGGTGTTAGTCTTACCTCCATCGCTGTAAGAATAACCTGCTCCAAAGCCTTTCAACAACATGCATCTTTTTTTCACTTTCTGTTTCAGGATTCAGGAATCCCAGACTCATTTCCGGTCTACCACTACAATGGCCTCAAACAGTCCAACCTCAACGAACGGGTAAGGGCTGCAGATTTTCACCTTTTCTATTTTAAGGGTCCTTTTCTCCTCTGCGTCCTGATATTTCCAGTCTGCTCCTGCCATTGCTCAGACACGCAAGGCTCTTCCAGAATAAACAGTAGCCATTGCAAGCCTAATAGCTCATCCATCCAGCCAAAAACCCTGGCTTAGCCTCCTGTCCCTCCGCCATATCAGCACTGGGGCCAGTGTCAGCGGCCGCAGTGTGATGGATGGCCGGCACAGGTCATTAGGAGAGCTCCGTCTGATGGAGAAATGTCACATGGCCGTTACTCAGGAATATCAAGTTCTTTGGGGTGCCTGAAACTAAAGTTGTTTTTATAATGCCACAAGTATGTTGTCTTTTGTACATGAGCTGGGATGTTCTTCTAATCAGGTAGAGCTAAAACAAAATGTAATATGTTGGCTTATTGTTCTAGCATTCCTAGAATTCTATTTCTGTTGGAGGCAGCTCTAAGAGAAATCAGCATTTTTGTTCAAAACAGATTAGATTCACAAACTCACCATATGAAAGTCCTTTCTACTGGCCAACATCATGCATATTTTTTGGAACATTGTCCCCACTACTAGACACATTAATAAGAAAATACTTTGCAAACCATATTTTAAATGCAGTGACAAAGAAGATGTGGAACTTTGTAACCGTTTTTGTTTCATGTAGATTGGCCCAGGAATTACTGAGAAATCGGCTCTAAACCTTCTTAGACCGTCAATGCCAACAAAGATTTCAGTTGCCCTTCCCTGAAATTCTAAACCATTGGTGCTTTGAAAAGTTGTGATATCACATGAACGCAGGCTATTACCTGACATGTTTCATTAGGTCGTGTTTTAGTGCCATCATCTAATTTCAGATAATCAGAAGGGAGATTTATTCTGCTTCTGTCATCACTGGGTGTGTAGTGATTGCAACAATATCTGAACTCTGAACATTGAAAAGCGCTTTGGGTGACCTTGGTCTGTTAAAAAAAAAAAAAAAACGTTATATAAATAGACATTATTTACTGACTTATTAGTTTTAAATTAATATTTTTTCAAACTTCCATATAACTTGAAAGGCATGGAATAGACTGGAAAGAGACTTGTTAAGCTATACTTTGTGGCCCACTGCAATTGAAACTTAAAACCTTTTATTACGATTCTAAGGTGTCAAAAGTTAAACCAGGCTTAAATTGGTTGATTATCTTAAAGAACTTAACATATTGGAGTTCAACAGCTCCCAGCACGTCCCAGGTGCCAAGTGGAAAACATGCAGAGTGCCTATAATGTCATGATGGCAATTCCATTCCCATAGTTTGTAATGGGAAAAGCAGACCGGTACTTGGCTGGTATGTGTTTGTGAGTGTCTGCTCCGTGCCTCCTCTCTGGCCCCCTCAGAGGACGCCCAGAAAACACATTAATAGAGTTGAAGGCTGTCAAAAGCCCAGTGGAAAGTGGAGTTTTGTGTATTTGTTTAACACTAAAAACTGCATTAATTTGTTTCAATCGTCAGGTGGAGTACGTGGAGGGGACGGCGGTGGTGCTAGGCTTCGAGGACCCCATGGTTCGGACCGACGACACTCCGGTGAAGCGCTGCCTGCAGACCAAGTGGCCCTTCATCGAACTGCTGTGGACCACCGACCGCTCCCCGTCCCTCAACTGAACCCGCACTGACTCTGGGCACAGTGGCAGCACGTTCCAATAGACTGAAAAACTCACACACAAATGTTTATGAAGACACAACTGTACACACAACATTCATGACCGAAGCATTGTCGCCGCCACGCATTCCAGAACAGTCTCACCTTGTCATTCCAGTCACTTTGATTGTCACAGAGGGAAGCTATAGCACGCCCCCACCTTGCCAAGGTTTACCGCGCATAGATTGAGTTCACGTTAGGTTAAGCAGTCTAGAGGATTTCGAATTGAGGTGAAGACAAGTTGGATAATTCTATAATAACAATGTCTAATTTTGAAATGAAACAAAAATCTTCCATTTGTACAAACGGTAGAAAAGATGGCTTCAAAAAATGTATTGATTGATCGTGTAAGTCTGAATTTTGCACTCTTAAAGCTGATGTTAGCTTGTGGTTTAACCCTTGTGCAATACTTGGGTTAAATTGACCTGCCACAATGATTATAATATACCCTAAATAAAAAAATGCAGGCTGAATTTTGAGGATTTTTCCTAACTTGACCATCCCCTCATTTTTCTTCTACTTTTAATCATCTGTGGTGGATCATTTTAACCCAAGGGTAGCACAAAGGTTAAAGTATATTTGGGGAAAACATTTGGAACATTTCTCAAAACAGGGAAACTTCCAATATTCTGCACTGCATTCTGAATTTTGAAAGTGGGCCAACCCTGTCTATACACCATGGCATCGACAGCTACTTTTGAGGTATTTTGATGCAAAAAAAAAGTCAGATATATGATGATCAGCACGTTTAGCTGCAGGACTGTTCTAAAGGAAAACTGAAACCAAAGCCTCTCTCATTTGGAACCGTCATAAAGCGAAGCGTTTACAGCGTTCGGGACCAGCCCACACGCACACCGCCGCAGCCTGGACATTCTTCAGTGTTTCTCAGCCAGATGGAAAGGTGCTAGAACACACCCGGATGCTGGCTGAGTAGTTATGTATTTATTATCACTCTTAAGGCTGTAATAAATACTTTTTGGTTTGACTCGACGTGTGCGGATGGTCTGTTTGTGCCCCCCGGTTTTTGCCCTGGCTGCTTCTTAAATATCACATCTTTGACACCCCTGGGTTGGAGGTGTCTAAGGTCTGTCTGGGGCGAGTGCGTTCTAAATCACGGGTGAAGCTCCAGAGTCCATAAAACGCAGAGATACTAAATCTTGAAGGACATATTTGCTCTGGGTAACTCTAAACTAGAACAATAGATTGAATGGGGAAACATGCAAACAACATGCTAAGAACATAAACAGACTTTTTCATTTGTCGCTTGTCTAGTGAGAAAGATGGGAGCAAAAAGCTGTTCCATCTGTTTTTTTTTTTTTACAGAATTAACCTGAAGGAGCAAGTTATAAAAAAAAGTGTTTGGATTTGGGAATGCTCAGTATGATATTGGGAGCAGTGTCAAGCTTCGTATGATATATTTGTAATCAGACTCGTACAGGAACATCCATTTTTTTTGTGCAGTATTGAAAATTATAGCTTTTTTTTTCTATCTTCCAAAATCACAACAGCAGTCTTGGATGACGTCACCACATTTACTTAAGGCAGAAAAATATTCAATTGGAACACAAAGAAATATAAACACATGTAATTCGTCCATAGCAGATTGTAAAACTCCAGTTACAAGTTACTTAGGGTAATGCATAACTGAAAAATGTAGGTACTTATTAGATTACTTACATGTTACATTAAACTGTCTCAAATAGTTTTAACATGCCAACACAGCTCTGACATGGAGCATTTTGAGTGTGGAAAAGCCCAGAGAATGATGCTGAACGGTCATTTAAACATCCTTAGTCAAACAAAAAAGCTTAAGCTACTTTCTTGAAGCTGTAACTAGGCAACTTGTTAAATCTATAAAAAGCAATTGGTAATATTTAACTTCACCTACACTGCAAGTTTACCAATGCTCATAAATGTCCAGAGAGTATGAAATGTCCAGAGAGTATGGTATGTCCCTAACTTTTTTTTTTTTTTAATCAATGCCCTCAATACATTTTCAGTACTTTTTTGTGAATTGGAAGAAATTCATAAACTTCCCAGGAGATTCACATTCAAAAGAAATGCAGTGTTCTTCTATATGCAACCGTATATACTGTACATAAAGCCTTCCATTGGTAGATTCCTAACCTATGGTGAACGTAAGCTAAAAAATGACCGGACTTCTGAATGGTTTCTTTTTGATTTAAAGGCACTCCACCTCGTTTAAATATTTAGCACTGATCTCTTTGCCCTGGCCCTGACTGTATCATACTCTGGACCCATTGTAGTATTGGCCTGGGAGTGTATGTTTAATGGATTCCTCTAATGGATCAAGGATGTGGGGCTAATCTGGCATAACAGAGCGGTACAGTCTCGTTAGGAGTTTGTAAATGGGATGGAGGCTGCACTGTGTAAAAACAGCACTGCGTTGTGTCTTACAGTGTGTGGTGTGTGCTTTAATCAATGTGGAAAGACCTGCTGTAAATCTGCAGGTCCCCAAAACACCGGGTGACTTGCAAGCGCGTAGCCCGAACAGTATGCAACTTCATGTGTGTATTTGGAAGAAACTGGATATCTGTGTGAAATGCATCTGGACAGTGAGAGAAATGATTAAGAGGAAAAATTACATGCTTTTGTCCATACATACGCCACACTTTTATGGTTAAAGAAGAAATATTATGCGTTAGTTTGGTCATTAAAGATAATAATTGAGACTATTTACTTTGTTATTTAATGTTTTAGAACGTGAAATAATATATTAAGTAAAAAATATACGGTGAAACAAGTATGAAGGGTAAATAACGCTATCAGCCTGCCATATCCCCATGCTACCATCAAAGGGCGGTATAAAATGTGTTTCGTTTTTTTCCAAATTTGAAAATTATCTGCCGTGAACCTAATTACACTTGAGAAATTTGCAAAATGGCCAATCGTTTTTATTTGGAAAGGCAGAAAACTGTTCTGAGTGTGATGCTATATAGTAGTATAGTTGCATCACACAGGACAGAGACAGAAGAAAAAGGGGTGGAGTTACATGTTTTTAACCCAAACCCAAGTTCTTGATGTTGGTGTGGGTGGATCCAAAAACAACTCCAGGCCCGTGACTGATGAGAGAACATTGTTGTAACATGCAAAATTTCAGAGTTGATTTAGCATAATTGGACTCGAATATAAGGCAAATCATATGCATAGTTTGTCATATGTAAGACAAAGTAATGTATTGATTAGTTTTCATGTTTTATTTTTGCATAAAAGTATAATGATTGCTGCAAGATTTACACAGACATATACTGTATGGTATATTAGATTAGAATGATATCTATTGACAAAGCCAGGAATAAGACATGTTAGATACGGTAAAAAGTAACATTACATGACTTAAGCTGGCCAAATAATTCAAAAAACAACAAAATCCGAGAAATGGTCCGCGAAAGGCTTTGTAAGTGGCCTCTATTTTGATATGGCCGATACATCAAATAAACCATATAATTTCAGGACAATTCAATAATTCTCCGCAGATTATATTTCTGAGTCAACACATAATTTAGTTTGGGTCGTCAGAATTCATAAATGTAGTTTTCAGGCCGAGGTTTGGTTGTGGTGAATGCTAAAGAAATGAGGTGATGCCATAGAGAGACTCACACTGCTGAGGTGGTGATGGGGAGGAGGAGGGTTGTGATCTTAAAGGTATATAGGAGGATTTTCCCAATTTTTAGGAAAGTTCCGCCTTCTCCACTTTTTGAACGAAACTCTCTGGTCTTATTGGACGAGGCCGTATCAGCAGAATGATTGACAGTTGGGAGGACCAATAGTCTTGACGATCCACCCGGAAGTAGAAAATCCTCCTATATAAGACACAGATACGCTCACCGTCACTTTGGTGGTATTAAATTTGACCTAAGTGGTATTAAATAGTCTTCTTCAAACTCGCGTGATCAGACCTGGAGACACCTTGATTTATATCAAGTACATTTTAAAGCTGCACTAACTGACTTTGGGATTTTGAAGCCGCGGACTCGCTGGCCTCGCTCTTTCTGCTCCCCTCCCCGCACCCACGAAGCTATCGCCCCCACACACACTCACTGTTGGGACGGAGCTAGTGTCTCCCAATATGGATAATACATGAATATGGATTTGCACGTGGATGGCGTGACCATAAAACGATAGAACCGGGAAGCGCGGAGGAACGGGACTTTCTTTTGGATGGCTGTTTCGCTAAGTAAGCAGTAACCGGTGACGAAGACGAGGAAGCTTCAGGTTAGCTCCTCGGCTTGTTGTGCTAACTCAGCCGTCTGTGCTAACGGACCTGTAGATTTCTCACGAAAGTGGGGGCCAGTGGTCCGCGGTGATTGGTCACAATCTGCGACCCGAAACACATTCTCTTCCTTGTTTCATCAAAACTCGATCTAAAATATAATGTCACGCCAGCACAAATCTGCGCTAATTATTCTTCAAAAGGACGTATATCCCAATGCACTACATGGACATGGATAGCATTTTCGTAATGAATACGAAAATAAAGTCAGTTAGTGCAGCTTTAAGGACAAGAAATGATAACTGTATGAATTTGGATGCAACCACAGTTTAAATGTTGAATAATTAGGTGTGTAGTCGTAAAACAAGGCTACATGTTGTGGAAAATGCTCACAAGAACCATAACTCCAGCTTTTCAATTCAAACTTGTTTTAACAGCAGGTTTGGATCTTATTATTGTTTGACGTCTTCTCTCTTAGACCTCAAATTTGCTCCACTATAAGCTCGTGTATATTGAATTTGTATTAGTCATAGGCCATTTATGCTTGCTTGGTCTCAATTCTAATCTTCCCGTATTAAATCGCTTTATCAGGCCATATTTACACGCCAAATTCTGCCAAAAAGTAAACAAACAAAGCTGGGGTTTCCTTGGTCCACAATGATGAGCTCAAAACACTCAGGATATAATTAAGCAGTTCAAACAAGCCGAGGAAAGCTTTTGATCTGCTCTCTGTATCTTTGTCACTTTGATTGCAATTTGTAAAATGAAAGCATTTGGTAAAAATTATGCTCACATGATGTTCATAAATATATATTCCATTTTAGCTTTTAATAAAAAGTGATGGGTCTGACCACAGTCGGGTCACACAGAGAGGGGCACACGGCCAAAAATATTGTAAACCATTGTTTTTTGTCTTTTTGTTTTTCACATATCGAATGAAGAAGTTATTCATATAGACAGTGTATAGATGGACGGTGCTAACCCAAACGCACAAAGAAGCCCATTAGGGAAGTGTTCATGGACAGAGTTTTGCTCCTGGCTCATATTGACTTTCATTGAAAGTTAACATTCCTCCATTGCATTTATGCCTGATCTACTTGGTGTGGGTCGTGCATCATATCTGATCTGATCTGGATCAGTGTAACACAATGAACACTTTATCACAATAACATTTAAAGCACAACACAACAACTGTTTCAGAGCTACTAAGGACTTGCTGCCGTTACCAGCGCATTGAAGAGTAAACAAAAAGTAAAAACATAAATGGAAATTCCCTTTGTAAATCCAGATATGAGCCATATGAGGATGCCTTAATTCACAGATGAAACTCCAGCTTGCCTTAGCAACCGTCTTAGTAACACGTCTGCCTCTGTTACGGTGCGACGCAAACGCCGTCAGAATGAATGCCCATATACAGAAATTTACCCCAGCTCGATTATTCAAAGGCTGCTGAGGTCAGCCCTCGGCCAGTCCTCTCCTCATACACAGTCTATGGTTGTTCTCCATATTAAAGGTCTTTCCTCTTCCATCTTGTCGTTCTTGGCCTCTTCTGTTTAATGGATTATTGGCTGAATCCACTGAAGAAGAACAGAACTGTTTTTCTTGAACCTTTTGTACTGAAACGATCAAGAAGCAATGAGGATCATTAAAAAAGAGTTTTATGAATGGAAAGATGAGTGAAGGACAGAAAAGTGGAGACTTCCATCTGGCGAGTGTCAGGGCTGTTTCATGACGGACTATTATCAATTGTAAGGACACAGAGCATAACCCATAAGCAACATTCAAAAGTGTCGGCTGCTTTTGTGGATCATAAATCTGGCAGTTTTAATTTACCATGGCTTCAAACATCTGACAGACCTGTTTCAGTGTCCAAACTCTTAAAAATCATGGTGTGTCCAACTCAAATTTCCCATCTTTGAATGTTTTCAACTAAACAACAGCACACTTCCAGAAACATAATATGAAACAGAGTGTAACTGGAAATGGAACATGGAAATAAACCTCTGTTATTACATTCTACTAGTTATATTATCGTAAAAATACATTAGATTATAGTGCAGGCTTAAAATTATATTACATCATAGTTATTGACATTTTTTTGGACATAGGACGCTTCACAAGGCATCGATCATTCACGTCATACACTGGTGGTAAACTACTGTAGCCACAGCTGCCCTGGGCCAAACTGATGCAAGCAAGGCTGTCTGTGCCCACCACCAATCATTCACATCTACAGCCGCACCTGATGTTCCCAGAGGTCTCCCATCACAGTTGGGCTGTGCACCAAACAAACCCTGTTGATGGATAGCAACTGCTCTAAATATTATTATGTACCTGCCCCAAGCTGTTCTCACATGACACACAAGTCTCAAACTATTTAGGTATGAAATATATGCCAATTCATAATAAATAAATGAGAATGAGATTTTGACCTGCTTGAATATCAAAGCAGATACTGACATCTTGCGTTTGGTACCTAATTGTTTTGCATTTTTTTGTTTTTGCAAAATAGAAATGTTCAAGAATACATCAACTGATTAATCACAACAACTAACAATTGAAATCCCTGTATCCCAACACTTCAGGCCGTGCTTAGCTCCTGAGCTCAGATGGGATCAGTTGTTCACATGCAGGTATGGCAATAAAATCCACTATTTTAAAGGTATGTAGGAGGATTTCCCCAAATTTTAGGAAAGAACCGCCCTCTCCACTTTTTGAACAAAACTCTCTGGTCTTATTTGATGAGCATGTATCACCAGAATGATTGACAATTGGAAGGACCAATAGTCTTGATGATCCACCTGGAAGTAGAAAATCCTCCTATATAGCTTTAAAACAACAAATATATTAAAGTAAACAAAAACAAATACATTGGAACGTGCTAGGATCATAGACTGTAAATATTAGGATGGATACACCACTGTGACACAGGGACCAGCCTGTTCACGTGACGAGTCCAGCCTCAAAACCTCAGACCTGGGGAACTCTTCATGACCTGCACGTGTCCCAGACGGTCTATGGTCACCACCAGAGTCCAGGACGCATACGCAAATCTACCGTTTCGCCGGGCACTGATTCAAAAATGGAGATTGAGTATTCTCTGGCGACCCTGCTGTCACGTCTTCATCACGTAAGAGATTCTTTCCAACAGAAACAACGTGAGCTGTTACCTCAGGTTTCTCGGGAAATGGCCTGGTGTTGAGTGAAGACCGGGACTGGGCCAAACTGCTACTTCCCCCTCCAATGACATAATAATTAGTGATGTAATTACAAGTTATTATCTCATTATTCACGAGGGAAGAATAGAGGAAGGAACTGGACAATCCAACACCTAGAGAAGTGCTCAGTGGAAAGATTTTAAAAACATATTATTTCAAATTTCTTCACTTTGCATGGTTAGACACATCACTCTAATTAAAACAATGTGTAATATTGATACTTACAGTATTTGAAACATTTGGAGGTTGTTGCCAAAGAATTAATATATAGATTAGCCTTTAAGTTTTTAATTTATTTAACTAGAGTTCAGCCGGTCATGCTAGGCTCGGTTTGGCTTCATCACTAGTTATTTTAATCATATTTAGGTCAACTTTTTCAGGGACAACAACCCTCACTCAGGCTCTCAGCCAAAAAGCACAGGAATCTCTCTTATTTGCGAATTATACAGAGTTTTATCATGAATGAAGGATAAGTTGTGGTCTGATTTGTTCGAGTTATATTTTTACAAGTCTCCTTCTGTGATAAGCAAGATGTATTATTTATGAAACAAAACAAATAAGGTTGGTAAAAATGTTTAATGTTTTCTAATGATGTATAATAATGTTGGTTCACTCTCTCATTCTATTTCATATTTGATTTAAGCTTTTGGTGATCATTGCCAAAGCAGTTCCTGAAACTAATTGCCTTAAATATACATTCGAGTTTATTTACTACTTTGCAATATCAGGCATACAATATATTTGGCATTGTTTTATAATCCACTATAAATACTTTGTTACAGTAACTTGAATTGTATTTTTTTAATGTTTGGGATCGTTGCCAAAATGGTTATACAAACTCTGTGCCATAAAAGGCAGCTTCGTGACGCGCCAGACTCAGATGTGGTTTTTGCCTTCGTGTGTGTGCGTGTGTATGCGTGTATGCATGTGTGTGTGTGTGTTTGTGCGTGTGTGTGTGTTTTTGTATGAGAGAGAGAGAAACTGTGTGTGTGTGTGTGTGTGTGTGTGTGTGTGTGTGTGTGTGTGTGTGTGTGCGTGTGCGTGTGCGTGTCGTTTGTGTGTTTGATAGAGAGAGAGAGGAGAGGGAGAGAAGAGAGAGGGGGGGTAACACTTGGAGCTGAGGGCGGGGGCGAGGCTCTCTGTAGTCCGCGCTCAAGTCTCTGGACAGACCTGGTGCCTGGATCAAGGAGGCTGTCACACACGCACAACAGCAGATCCAAACAAGCGAAGCGCACCAGCAACTTTTTTACGCACGGCTTTGGACAGCTCCACTTCACCTGCGCAGAGGAGACTCACCACTCGCATCCTCTAAAACTTTACTTTGGAGATATTTCTGCACAAAAAAGCTGGGGATGGAGCGCACGCAGGACTGCATTGGGATGTTTATTCTGGGCTTGTTTGCGGCGCTCTCCCCGGTGTTGAGTTTTAACCTTTACGCGCAGCATCCCAGCGTTTACAAAGGACCCGACGGGAGTTATTTTGGTTATTCTGTGGACTTCTATCAACCTTCTACGGACAGCAACACGTGAGTACCCACTTAATTCTGTTACAAATGTGGAGATTCCCATTCAAACTATGCTTGCCGCGCCAAAACATGGAAGCACTTTCTTTTGCCAGTCTTGATGTATAGCTTCATAATTGTAATTTCTGAGCTATCCCACTATACTTGGAGTTTAACCTGGTCTGGAAAAAAAGAAAGCATGGGCCACATACTGTACACCTAATCAGAATGATAAAAGTATGGAAAATGACGTTTGACTGAGCCACAGCGTGCGCACATGTGGACTCTTTGAGAATGTATGGATTTCCCATGATTTCTGCATGCTTCTTTTCCTCTCTTTTCCCCTCTCATTTAGGGTGAGTGTGCTGGTGGGGGCTCCCAAGGCAAACACATCCCAGCCGGGGATCGTGGAGGCAGGGGCTGTCTACTACTGCCCTTGGCCTGGACAGACTGACAGCTGCAGACAGATACCTTTTGACAATTCAAGTGAGTAGTGGTGATTGTTTATTTTTTCTGAACTTTCAATTTGCCCTGCATTCAGACGCTTGGCTTGTTGTAGACTTGGCTTGTTTTAGTGCCAGTTTAAAAAAGGACCAGTCTTCGAGAGGAGATTTCATATCAAATTGCCATAGATTATGTAAAAAAAAAGATGTGTTTCTTTGTGCAGTTCTCGAGTTGAGGCTATGGGTTGGCACAATGCAAATCCTGTGTAACTTGTGTGTTTCCATGGAGATATATTGTTGTAACAAATACCAAGGGACATTCCATATGAGATAGACAAGAAGGTCCTGGGTTCGATTCCACCTTCAGGCCTTTGTGTGGAGTTGTCATGTTCTCCTCATGTCTATGTAGGTTTCCTCCAGGTGCTCCGGTTTCACCTAAAACATGTACAATAGCTCTGGCATGCGCCTCCTGCATGGCGACCCATGTGGAGTGCGAGGACTAATAGGCACTATATAAATAAATATTTACTTATTACGACTTACAAATCCATATTATGGTAGATTGTTGCCAAAAGAACAATGTTTGTGTAATCAGATTTTTTCAGTTCCAAGTATTGTGTTTTAAATATTTTCGGGGGCTATGCAAAACAACCACAATGAATAAATCATATCGGTTAAATTAATAATTGGCTCAAAAAAAATCTCACAAGTTTGTTCTTCATTCACCTGGATGTATTACTTTAGCAATAAACATCAGATTTTGGAGTTATTTGAGTTCTTTTATGGGGAAAAACAGTCATAAAACGTTATAGGTTTACGCTGGGTTTTGGTCTATAAACTCCGAAGATGGATCAGACCCAAAACGTCTGTCTGGCATGTCTCTGAATGTAGCACAAGTGTATGTAAAGTTTTGGCCGCCACAATGATGGAGTCGGCGCATATGGGGGCCGTTATCTTTGTCTCATGAAGGTGCTTATAGTTTTGTGTTGATTATGTCTGTCTATTTATTATCATCAGTGTCTCGCGGTTTATTCCCAGTGTGAGTTTGTTCATATGAGAGCGAGAGAGAGAGGGAGAGAGGGAGGGGGGAGACAATGGTGCGACCAGAGGGGGGGTAACTGTATGCACATGGGAATTCCGTCCCCTTTAAACGAGTAAGAGCCGAGGCCTGCTTTATATTAGATCCTGCTGCAAGGCGCATCTGTGTCTCTTTATCTTTCTCTCAACTCCATCTTTAAATTTTTAAGGTATACATCTTTGGACTTTAAGAGGTAAATTACGTAACTTTTCTTTTGAGGGATGTTATTGTTGTGATACATAGGCATGGCAAGTTTATAGCTCTGTTCTTTCAGGCAACTCAAAGTGTTCATAAAACTGTATTAAAATCCTATATATTCAGAGCGCGTAAAAAAAAAAAAATCCTTCAGTTGTATGCACAGCTAAACAGAACTGTGTTTAACCTGGAGTTGAACATTGTCAGAGTTTTCACATTTTCAGGAAGACTGTTCCAGATTATCGCTGATATGGGCACCAGCAGGAGGCCTGTCCCTGCGCTCCACAGAGTCTGAGTTGGTTCATTTGGCACCAATATGTCAGAGATTTGTAAACAAGCAGAGATTCTGTCATGGTGTGGATTTTGTGTGATTTTGTACTTTGGTTTTATTTTGACATCTGTTCTTCGTGGTTTGGTTTTAGCTTTACTTCCTGTCCTGTTCCCCTGTCTTGATTGTCTGCCCCGCCCTGATGTGTTTCACCTATGTCTCTCTGTGGCCCAATCCCAATACCCACACTGCACCCTACACACCTCTACGAAGTGTGCATTTGTTTGAAGTGCACACCAGGGTTGGAGTGCGCAGGTTACAAGCGTGCAAAAAAGGCGGAATTGGGACAGTGCACACTGATTGCAGGTTTCGTCATCGACTCGTCAAGAGATGGTCATTTTCAGACCTAAACTTTACCAAATTAAAGGTAATTTCGTCCGACCCTGTGGGAAACAAAATGAGTTGCTCCTCACATGTTAAAATAAATGTATATTGGTTATGCATAATTTGAGAGAGCTGTATAATTTTAAGTTAAATGTGGGTAACTAACTGTTATCTGGTCAGTTTTTATACATCCTAACTTTATTTAACCTGGCAAGAGCCAGATTGATGATTGTGTAGAACTCTAATGCGTTCTCCACAATATCAATCTGGGACTTCTGCAGGAGAATCCTTTCGGGGAAAGGAGGGATAAGCAGCAGAATACTTCAAGCTGATTGGGCGAAGTGACGCTGTGTGCCCGCCTACCAAGGTTTGACTTAAACCAATCCCGGTAACATTATGGTGTCATCGGCGTGCACAAAGCGCCTCTCGCTGTCCATCTTTCAAAAAAGAAATTGGAGATTCTGCTAAAACTGACTTGATAGCCTCAGCTACGCGTTCGTCCTCCTGCGTAGCCATGTTTGTTTTGCTTCGGCCCGGCACTTCTTGCTTTCGTCAAACCCGGATATCCCGCCCTAAACCCCCAGACTGGCGCGTGATTGGCTTGAACACCTAGATGTTCTACTCGAAAAGGGTTGGCGGGAGCGGGACAAGATGTATTCTCGAGTGTTTGTGAACTCACAAATACCGCGAGAATTCAGCTTGCAGGCAAGGTTAAACTTTATTGTACTAAGTGTAAAGTTTAAATTGAATGTTATATGAATGTGAATAAAAAAGTTATTAAATTGTCACCATACAATGTCCGTAATTCTTCAATTAGTCATTTATGCTTCTATACAAGTAACATAGCAACATTTATTTACACACATGCAGAATATATATTTCAGAACTTACACTTAAATGCATTTTCCCGACATTTTGGTGTGTACCGCAAAGAATTATGGGCAATACTCTTTGCCAGAGTCCGCATAGATGCAGGCTACGGCAAAGTGTGGATCAGGGGCGCAAAGGGGTGGGGCCAAAGACTTCCCTGGAGAATTGGGACACCCTATGCACTCGCACTCATCATCGGGAACGCGCAAATGAGGGGCGCGAGGGTGGAAGTGCGAGTATTGGGACTGGGCCTGTGTCTATATGAACTGTGTGCGACTCTTTGCCCATCTGTTTTCCTGGTTCCTGAGTTTTGTTTGGATTTTGAATGTGTTTTTACCTTGGACTTTTTGTTTATTATTTTCTCTAAATCATTATTTTTGCATTCCTGCTTTTTTGGGTCCTTTTTCACCTCACCATACATGATAGATTCTATGAAGTCTATTTTTTTGAGCCACAGGAAGCCAGTGCAGAACCCTGAGAACTAATGTGATTGTACTTCCTGTTTCTAGTGAAAAAGGAAGGACTACTCTTCTTCCCAGATATGAGTTGTGAAATAGCCTGATGTTATCTATATTTACAGTTACAGTTCCATGTGTATATATTTGATGTGCACCAGACTCCCCAAGTGCCACCATGCCAAGACGATCCTTTTTTTTCAGAATCAGAATCATTTTCCCTCATAATTCCATTCCATTTCCACTGAGGAGGGTGAAATCTTTTCTTCTCTTTCGTTTATTTATTGCTATTTTTGATGTTAGTTATCCTGCTCCAAATTGTGTCTGTTACATATGAAATGCCTGATCTTAATGATTAAACAAAATACTGGATATTTTCCAAAATTATGTCTGGTATCAAGTGTGATCAATATAATTGTTTATTGCGATCCACTGTATCGTCCTGACGTATCGATGTATTACTTTTCAAACAGTTGTTATTGTTGGTTGAAGAATGTCTGATGGGAATGTGTGGATGAGAATTCTGCCAAAGAAACACATTGACGACATATTGTCAGCTCGCATCAGTAAATCAGAAATGTGTAGATAGTAACAGATGGTGAATTTGTTTCAGCAGCTGACTGTGGTGACAACAGTAGCCTAAAGACAAAACATGAATGTAAGATGTTTGCTGTTTCCATGTTTATTCTATAGAGATGTTTGTTATAACAGCAACAGCTCGTCTGCTTCCTGTGTGCGATCACAAAGACAGAGTTGTGAGAGTTTTCTATATACACTGTGCGAGTATACGGGTGGGTACTTTAATGATAATGATAATAGTACTGGTACATTGTATTTATATAGTGCTTTTTTTGGATACTCAAAGACGCTTTGAAGGACAAATAAACAAAATGATAAACAGTTATGTGTAGGCAGTTTTGAGCAAGTGAGTCCGAGTCCCTGATGTGTTGTGAGAGTGAGTTCCAGAGAGTGGGAATCGTCTCGCTACATTATTGTTATCTTTTCTCACTAAATTCTTAAAGTCAGGCTTTAGGTTTGCAACACAGTTCGACAGATTTTATAAATGATGAGAAAGATGAGATGTCTCAATTGGAATGAGAAAATAATGCTTCTGCCGATAACAAGATGTTGAAAAATGAGACTGAGGCAGATATCATTTAGCACAATTGACCTGGCGTCTTTTCATTTCTTTCAGGTAGATAGCAAGGTTACTGAGCTTTTTAACATGAGAATGTATTGTGAGAATGTCATTACAAGACGGACAACCAGAGATATTAAACTCATTGAAAAAAGTGACAGGGGTACTCTGGGACCCTAAAGATCTGATCCCCTGAATATTGTGTCTTTCTTTTGTCCCAAATCCACTTTGTGCAGGCCAGAGTCCATAATGACCAAATACTGGTTCCATTGACATTTTTACAAGTTTATGTCCACTAACGGGAGTTTATGTCCACTAACGGGAGTTTATGTCCACTAACGGGAGTTTATGTCCACTAACGGGAGTTTATGTCCACAAACGGGAGTTTATCTCCACAAACGGGAGTTTATCTCCACAAACGGGAGTTTATGTCCACTAACAAGAGTTTATCTCCACAAACGGGAGTTAGTGGACACAAACTCCCGTTTGTGGAGATAAACGGGAGTTTGTGTCCACTAACAGGAGTGATGATAGTCTTCATGGAGCTCAGAGTGGGCCTCCTGCATCAGCAGCTTCATCTAAGGCCATTTTTTGAAAACAAGTGAAATAATGATAATATAATGATAGATGATTTTCTAATTACAACCTTGATAATTGGGGTTTTGATTGGACTGCCTTGAATTGTGCAGCCCAATGCCAAACTAACAAAATGTTGCTAAAACTTGCCTCTAAATATATCGACTGTAGATCAAGTTTTGCACTGCCCTTGAACTCACAAAAATGCAAGAATTGTTTGAAAGATAATACCAGGTAAAAATAATGCAAACTTATATTTTTAACGTATATATGAAGGTCCTGGGTTCGAATCCTTGTCGAAACAGGGCCTTTCTGTGTGGAGTTTGCATGTTCTCCCTGTGTCTTTGTAGGTTTCCTCTGGGTGCTCCAGTTTCCCCTACCAATAAAAACATGCAGAATAGGTCTGAATGTAATGAGTGAGTGAACGGATGGGGTTGGTTAGGGCTTTGATACACCAGGTGTTCAGCGTCAAGGTCTTGCTTCTGTCATCACCGTGTGGAGAGAATGAAACAATATCTGAACTCTGAACATTGCAAAGCGCTTTAGGTGACCATGGTTTGTAGAATGCGCAATATAAATAAATATTTCTTATGTACGTTCATATATGTATTCATACATTGAGTTTTGATGAAAAGTGCTCGGCCTGAAGTGGCAGTTTGGAGGAGCGAGGACTTAAACCATATCTGAATGTGTGAGTGCAAAGCGCGGGGAGGTGCTGGATGATTGATGAGAGCCGCCACACTGCTTTTGTCTACAGTTTCACAGAGCCATTAAAACAGGTAGATGCATTCATGGTTGTAAAAATGTGCAGTTCTGGTGACCATCTGTGCGTATACTGTAGAGCACCAGCTTCACGTGGGTCTAATTACTGTACGTGAACTGCATGTATGGAGCTGAGGGCACAAGGCTCAGCTGACGTTAGGCAGGAGCCAGGAGAGATGCTGGGGGCCGGGGTAGGCTTTCAGCGGTCACACCTCCAGACGAGAGCCACATGCGTCTGATTCAAACACAGGTCTAGTCTTTGGATGAATGGTAAAGATCTGAATCTGTTCAATAAGCTTTAACTTTGAACCTCAGGGCTGCGGCTATCAAGTGTTCTATCAGTCATTAAGATTAAGAGATTCTGTATTCGTCCCAAAGCGGGGAATTTCAATGTTGCATCAGCAGTTACAGAACAGTAGGAATGAGGAGCACACAGCAGATAAATGAACAATAACTCTATACTAAAATAAAAAATGAAAATATCCAACTGAAAGCATGAAACAAGTATAACATCTCTATCTTTAGCATAATGAAAACAAAAAGCCCTGACTTCTGCATAATCACGAAGTATAAAATCTCTATCTTTGGCAAAATAAGAAGCAAGTTTATCTTTGATTGTTGAAAAAAGTGGCATAATACATTGAATAATGAATGAATGAATGTTATTTTTATAAAGAGAAGTTACTTGGCTTGTTACATAAGTGATATTGCCATCTAAACTCAAGTCAATGAAACGGTGATCATAGCATTTTGTAATTAAACAAATAGATTCACTTGATTCATAATTTCAGGCCTGTAAAACACATTCATAAATGCAGCAGATACAACGTCCAGAAGTCAAATGCCTTGATTTGAGCATTTGACTTCAAAGCTAATGGCAGTATTTCAAGACGTCTCTTTACAACTGTTTTAACTTAAATAAGAAGAAATCAAGAAGAATTGTAAGGAGGTGCTCACACTTGAGTCCCAAGTGAACCAGAGTTTGTGTTAAGTGAACCAAGTAGGTCCCAGGTCTAAGATACATCATTTATGGATGTATAAAATCACCAATATAACTTCAAAGATACTGGAATAGTGTGACTTTGGTGCTTTCACATCTCCACTAATGATGTATTTTTTTTGTATTTGGTTCACTAAAGTGAACTTGGGACTGAAGTGTGAATAAGAGTTTTTGAGCGGCAAAAACAGTAATCGTATGTTGTGTAAGTTTAACAATATCCAAGCAGTGGTGACATGTGCAGGTGGGGGGCCCCTTATTGCAGGGGTGTCAAACTATTTGGTCAGGGGCAAAAACTTCTAATGATGTGTTGGGTTAAAATGTTAGAATATATTACGTTTGGTTGTTAGATGACGAATAACACGCCTTGGCAGCCCATTACCATCAATGCTGCATGTCGGATTTGGCCCATGAACCAGAGTTTGATATGTCTGCCTTATGGTATTGTGCACCTATCCCCAGATGCTGGATCTAACATGTTATATCTGGTCACTTTTATCAAGACATGATCCTGGCTTAACCACATGTTGCTCTATTGAAGCTTTATGTAATATTATTAACTCAATATAAGTAAGTACATCATCAAAAAACTGCTTTTACCTTTCCTGATTGGGTCTAGAGCTCTGCACTCTCCAAACACTGCTGCTCAGTATGTTACTCAGATCCTCCACTGTCCTAACTCAATAATGATGAAGTTTATTACTTCTAGTCCAACAGGAAATGTGTATCCCCGTGCAAATGAAGTGTTTTATTGATGAGAGCGTTGTGAAGCACTAACACTTTCCGTCTAGGATTTAAAGACACTGGAGCGTCTCCCCAACAAAGTGAAGGCACAGTATACGGGGCAAACATGCCACTTTATGTGGAGTGTGGGGGATACGGCCTCATGTGTGCGTTAGATGTTGGAAAGGTTTAGGGCTGCAGGCTCTTTCAGGATTACCATTTTATTTTATGAGAAAGTTCCAAATCTTGTACCCCCAACAAATGGCTGTCACTGGGGGCCATATGTTGTTTTGATGTTTAAAGATGTTTTGCAATGCCTTATCGAGGGCAAATGTTTTCCATCTAAACGTCTCTGTCTGCTCCGGGCCACAGTCAATTCGAGCTTTTATTGGCTCTATTATGAAATGAAATGTCTTTTGCTCTGGTTGTGTTTTATTGAGCTTGTTTCCGCTGTGTGTGTTTGCAGATAACCGGATGATAAAAGTGAACGGAAGCCGAGAGCCGCTGGAATTCAAGTCGCATCAATGGTTTGGGGCTTCGGTCCGGACGCACAGAGAGAAAGTGGTGGTGAGTACGTCTGGATATCATCAACACTATTCCAGGTTACATATGAAGTCATTGTATTGTCTACCTTTGTGTTTCCTTCACATTATGGACTGGCTCTCTAAACCAGGGGTTCCCAAACTTATACGACTGGGAATTACGTTGCTTTCCGCCTGTAATACCCTATGTTACCACCAGAGAGAGGGCTAGATTTTTTATTTATCTTTTATTTGAAAGCTACCTGCTGCAAACACAGCTATGTAATTCTAAAGACCACTTGTCTTAAAAGGTAGAAATGGCTCTGAGCTTGATGTCACAGAGGTAAAATGACATACTGTTACAGGATGTTATAGGACTGACACTTTTAGACCAAAGGGGCGGAGTTACATGTTCCTGATATTAGTGTGAATGAATCAGGGATCAACAAACTACTCAGCTGCTTAAAAGCTTAAAAGTTGATTTTGATAATGTGTCTTTGCTAAGTGATGAGTATTTGGGGTTTTCCGCAAATATAGCATTTTTGCCCCAAGACTTGCTCCAGTTAAAGTGAACCAGACCAACAAGGGTGAATGTGTCCATGTCCACAAATTATGAAGTAACAAACAAACAGCAGATACAGCACTGTTTTCCAATCTTTTCCCCAGGGGAGCTACAGGACAAAATGGTAGTGAACTACTCATTTAGGCAGTTTAAAGAAAGCAGACGTATTGAATTAAGCAGTGTTAATGTAAAATGTATAACATTTGAATGGTCTTAAAACAAATTTGACAAGCCGCTTTTGTGTTAATTACATGTCCCATAGGCAAATCCTGTTTTTTATAACTGCAAAATGCTAAAACAATTGAAATAAATCTTTGAGCCATTGGCAGTCTAGCCTTACATGTATAGGGGCATTAACAATTAAAACAATCTATTATATTATATTACGAGTGCACAAAAAAGCAGAAAAACACTTCAATCATGAAAGGAAAGAATAATACTCAGCATAGTTATTGATTCTAAATCCTTCGGGCAGCTACTTGGGTGGACAGGCATGGTAAGTTTATTTGCATAGCACAGTTCATAAACAATGCAACTCAAAGTGCTCAACAGAACACGATAGAAACAATCAGACAAGGCATTAGCATCATAATAATCACAGTACATTGTCTGAGTAGAAGCCGGTCTCATACTTCCTGAGCTGGAAGTGGAAAACTCCAGATTGATGTTTTGTGTGTGTTTTTAGGCGTGCGCCCCTCTGTACCACTGGCGCACGGTGAAGATGAGCGGGGAGCAGGACCCGGTCGGGACGTGTTATGTGGCGGTGCAGAACTTCAGCGCCTACGCAGAGTACTCTCCCTGCAGGACCAGTGAGTGTCACATCCTCTGCCCCCTTTCCTCCCCATCTGCTAATGCCATCTCTGACTGACTTATGCAACACACCTACCTAAAGCTCATAATACTGTTCAAACAAAAGAGCAGTCATGGCTCACTGAACCTCATATGCACTATCTATAAATATGAATTATTTTTCATTTCATACAGTTGTGCTTCAAGACCGAATGGCAAAACTAGTACTATTATTTCAGATTTTGCCTTTTTTTCTTTCTTATATACACACACAGTCAACATAATTATGATACAATATGAATACATAACAGAAACACAGAAAACAAAATAACAATAAAGGACAACATATGCCAAAAAAAGCACTTTAAGAACAAAGATATGCATGTATTTTTTTGCCTTCTTTGTTTTGACATGTTTGTGTTATTCTTAGACACTATGGGGTTTCTTGTTATTCACACATGTAATGCCACATATTATAGTTTGGCAGATGAAATGGATAGTGCATGTCGGGTTTAACTCTAAATCATTTGGTTAATTAGTCCCTCATGCACTCCCCCTCTGCTTTCTGTTCTTGTGACTTCAATATCGTCCACTTTTCTACTCAGTTAAGTCATTTGAAACAGTAGATTGAGATTTACAGCTTTGAAATTCTGATTCTTTTTTCTGTTTTTATTCAATCTTAGTCACAAGTCCAGGACAAAATAAATAAATAACAAACAAACACATAGGAGCCCTTGGTCCACAGTGTACAGCAGGATGACCATTGTCTGTAAATGTGAATACAGAATCATACATGTCCATAACTGTCCTGGAACATCACTGTCCTTTGACCCTCAAACATGTCTGTCATGTTGGATGATGTGAAAACGTGTTATGCAGCCATGAAAGCATTGAAATAAAAGAATAAAGGCATTGAAATAATCTAAGATGAAAAAAAAACAATTAAAGTGATTGTCTGGAGTTTGTCAGAAAGAGAGAGAGGTACTTGATTTGAAAAAAACGACGCAAGCTCCTCCCCCTTCCTTTCTGATTGGTCTACACCTACGATTCTGTAACACTTTTAATGTTTACTTTTAATGTTAATCAGAGAACACATTATACATGTACATTATTAATACACATGCACAGAGGTTTTCAGAATTATTTGTTAACGTTTTAATGAAAAAAATAATGTTTTAATGCACGAAAAAAGCAATCGCGGTAAATCTGGAACAAGCTATTATCATGAACTGCACATTATAGGACACATCTGCAGAGGATCTGATTATGGATATAGGTTCAGTATATAAATGATTATGGATATAGGCTCAGTATATAAATGATTATGGATATTGGTTCAGTATATAAATGATTATGGATATAGGTTCAGTATATAAATGATTATGGATATAGGTTCAGTATATAAATGATTATGGATATTGGTTCAGTATATAAATGATTATGGATATAGGCTCAATATATAAATGATTATGGATATAGGTTCAGTATATAAATGATTATGGATATTGGTTCAGTATATAAATGATTATGGATATAGGTTCAGTATATAAATGATTATGGATATAGGTTCAGTATATAAATGATTATGGATATAGGTTCAGTATATAAATGATTATGGATATTGGTTCAGTATATAAATGATTATGGATATAGGTTCAGTATATAAATGATTATGGATATCGGTTCAGTATATAAATGATTATGGATATAGGTTCAGTATATAAACGATTATGGATATAGGTTCAGTATATAAATGATTATGGATATAGGTTCAGTATATACATAAGTACCTCAGCGCAGATGTTCAGAATTCTTTGTTCAGTTTTCATGAAGTTCCAGAGCCTAATGGAGGCTTGATTCGGAGGCATGCGCGCAGCTACGAGCATCAGCGCGATGATTGACAGCCCTTGGCATGACTCGATTGGTTAACCTCGACGGCATCGTGGATTCTGAGCTATATAGTGAAGGGAAGGCGGGACTTGCCCGTAATATTAGAATTAGACCTCCTGGCCTTAAATGTTGATATAAAATAAGTCATTTTATATCAACATTTAAGGCCAGGAGGTCAATTTTACACATTTCCTAAAAAGTATATTTCATTTAGAGTCACAGACTATCACTTTAACATAAACTTTTATTGGTCAATGGAAGTGGCCCACACACTCCTTTTAATGCCATGTAATTGGGTCTTGGATATTTCCAAACATGTCAAAAACAAATGCGTGAATCTAATACCGGGGAGACAGAATGAGGGAGCTTCCTCCTTGTCGCCACTATTTTACTTTTTTGCTGTCCGGAATCCCCGCCAACAGAGCCCTCTTAAAGGTTTTATCATGTAACTTTTCGTGGGGGTAAAAACGTTTATATTTTGGCATTTACCTTTACTTTCCATCCCAGTGGTCTGTAGGGCGCTAGTGAATCCATTGTTTGGAAGGTTTTTTCTGCTGACAGACTCCTGTATCAGAACACCAAAACAATTGGTCTGGAGACTTGTAGACAATAAAAAAGTTCAGGCACCATTCTGTTCCTCCTGGGTTGTAAGGTTGTAAGCCACTGGGTAAGCTCACATTTGCAACAAAATATCGATATTGGAAAAGCTCCTTGAAGTCCCAGCCAAGATGTAGAAGAAGGAGAAGGGGAGAGCAGAGAACCAAGCACAGCTTAAGGATGGACAGATTACCCCACAGTTGTGCCGTGTTCCTTCTCCCCTCATTGTCCCAAGTTAAATTTCATCCATAAATATTTGTCCAGGAAAGCAGTTTTCACAGGATTTTCTAATTCTTTTCTAAAGTACACAATCAGGTACAGGCTTTGTAATACAAATAGGTTGACTTGTATTACCAGTAAAAATAACACATTTTTATTCACAAAGAGTTTGAGAGAGTTGACTCAATAAATTCTCTCTATTATACAGTTTACAGGGGAAGTCCATTTTATAAGCTCACGATCATAAACCGTAGAACTGTTTTATTTTACTTGGCATTCACGTTTTGTTGGCCACGGCAGCTGTGGGGTGATTTGTCAGTCTGACACCTTATCTATCCCCCTTGCGGTCCCTTCATGTTGTCATCAGCTCTCTAAGGAGGACTCCCCCCTCCTCACCCTCCTCACCCTCCTCACCCTCCTCACCCTTCCCTCACCCCTCACTGATATCGGGATTCCACCAAAGGTGCGATAAGAGAAAATGTGTCTTATCGAGTGGCACATCATAAACTGCACTTCAAAAGACAGGGAATTATGGTTTAAACGACTGCCTACTTTGTGCCAAAAAATCCCCCACTGTTCAAGTACACTCCAGACATGATAAAACTGTTTATTTCTATGGCGACTAATCAAGACAAGAGTAATTGTGTTGTAAACTGGATTGGTCTCCAGGGTAAAGGCTGGTTGCCATTACTCTTTTGAACAGTGATCTTATGGCTACAGAAACCTTAGCTGCATATGTTGTATTTAAGTGCTTTTACTATGACGATAAATAAGTTGGATGTCTTGTATGTATAAGTATATGCAGCGCGTACGAACAAAAATGTGACGTAAGCTTGGTCTATGAAAAGGCCTCTTGATTTGAGACATAGTACGATTTTTGTATTGCCATACATCACAGCAGCAGTCGTCTTGTATGACTTTACAAAGCTGTCGATTCACAGTTCAGAGAATCAAACAGTTTTTACACAGGAAATGCAATGTTAACAAACATAGATGCTGCATTGGTCCATAGGGTGCGGGATGACCGATGTTAATCAATGTCCCCGATCTGTCGTTAGACCCTCCTATGTTAGCAAGGAACAACTCCAACAAACAAAAACGTGAGAACCCCCTGGGAGGCCCACATTGGGAGGTGGATCCGCTCTCCCGCTCAATTATTTTAAGCTTTTAACTCATTTATAGCATTATTCCTTCGTCAGTCACAGATCTAGAGTCGTTTTAGATCCACCCATGCTAATATCAAGAACTTCTATTGCAAATGTGTTACTCCGCTCCCTTCTGTCTAAAAGCTCTTGTCTCAGTCCTGTAATAGTACGACGTCATTGTCTCTGCCTTTTAAAACCAGTATTGTCCATACATTAGATTTATGGAAATGACAATCTTACAAATTCATTGGCTGTGGTTTTAGCTGTTGATTTTGACAAAAAAGCAGTTTTTGCCCTCCGTAATTGTTTCACCGTATATTTTCTTCTAATTTCACATTGTAAAACATGAAATTACAAAGCAAATATTCTCCTTGTAATTTGTCAGGGCCAACGATAATGCATATTGTTCCTTTAAAAGACAGAACTCAACATTTATCTGAGTTATAGTTTTAGTTTTAAGTTGAGGACATTATTTTTTTGTTATTTGTATTCAAAGACCTGTGAGCGTGTGCTTGCGTGCGTTTGCGTTTGTGTGCGTGTGTGTGTGTGTGTGTGTGTGTGTGTGTGTGTGTGTGTGTGCTTTTTTCAATAACAGAAGAAAATGCTTGTACCTATTGGGTGTCATCCATTATCACTAAATAGCAGGCAGACTGATATGCCTGTCATGTCCACTTCAATAAATGGATTTTCACATGAATGGCCTTTTATTTGGAAAATCTTCTGAGAACTGCTGTAACCGCTAACTTTATATAACTGTTCATACACACATATAGAGTCACGCATCATTAAGCCTCACCTCAGGCTCTCAGACACACTGTACAGAGCTAGCACCGTCAGATGAAGTCACTTAAAGACCAACATAAGCTTGTTTTCTTATGTGTCAAAGACAATTAGGATATTAAACTTAATACAGAACCCACTTTTAGCTTTAGAGATTGTTCGGTTGTGTTTTAATGTTCCTTTTTAACTGCTTTCATTACACATTTATGGCTCCTCTTTCTGGAAACGGCTTGTTGCAAATATTTAAAGTGTCAGTGTTGATTGGTGAAAGGTTGCTGGTCTGTGATTGGTGGGTTATTGGGGCAGCAGTGGCATCACTCATCGGCCCTGGCACTGTTTATCCCCCAACACTTGACACTTGCCCCAAACAGTTCATTTTCAAGAACCTCATAGAAGCTGATAGAAAAACAGTATGGTAATAAAGAGAGTAAGGACCCAAAATACAATACTGCGAAAAATTATATACTTTAATAAACAAGAGGAAAAAAAGTCAACTGAATGTATAACACAGGAGAAGGGGACAAAGACAAGGGGAATATCCGGACAATCCGGGGAATAAAAACATTGGACTGACAACAAAGGGAAAGATTGCAGGGGATACAACATATGAGGGTGGGGCCGACAATCAACAGAACAGGAAGTAAACTCAAAATAACACATGAGAACCGATGGTAAAAATAAAACAGGAACTAAAAATGCACATATGATCAGAGTACACAACCAAATTTACTCCTCGGTCAATTAAAATGACTTAAACTGAAGATTTTCTATGTCAGCAGTTTTAAACACAAATTGAATACATAATATCCTCATTGGCAAATGTATTGTCATCAAGTTTTGTCAGAGATGTCTCCAACCCTCATGCACACTGTGTCCTTCTGCTCTGTCCGTTCTGGGTTATGCAAAGGTCTCCAACCTAGCTCCCCAACGGATTTAGAAAGTATTTCAGTATTATTCACTTGCTCAAAACTATTGAACGTAAACTTGCTGTGTGCACTAGTAACAAATACAGTGTGTGATGATGAACTACTGTTGATAGTGACCCATTCTCAAGCTCGCTCTCACAAATATATCAACTCATTTTTCCCAGGACGGCTTAAAGGAGTAGCTTTCTGTCATTATTGTCTTGAGAAAGTTGCTCTCTGGGAGAAAAGTTTCAAACCCCGGGTCTTCCTCAGGGTACCCAGTGCGACATGCCCAGTCCAAGAGTCTTCCCGAGCCTTGTCTCTCTCTGCCTCCTATTCATTCTCAATTTTGATGAATGAACCCAATATAATCCTCCTAAAAACTGCTCAGGAAATGTTCAATATTTTTTTGCTTAATTGTTTTTCACACTTGTGCGGATCTAATTATGATTATATTCAGAATAACATTATATTTGTTTGCCCTGATACTAACATAGCCTTTGTTGTTTTAGACGACCCAGACCCAGAGGGACAGGGCTTCTGCCAGGCCGGCTTCAGCGTGGACTTCACAAAGGTAAACAGCGAACACACACTTTTGACAAATGCATGTTTTCCTCACAGGACGACAGCACACATGTCCCCTCTTAAGTGCACACACAAACCTCCCTTTGGAGATTTATGACCCGGCTCCAGAAGACGGAGCGTTTGTCCCTCGAGTCCCACTCCTGATGCTGCAAACACAATCGGGCAAAGACACATCCACGTGAAGGCATTCTTTCACTGTCCACCCTTTGGCCTCTGCTCTATAAACACAGCTTTAGCCTTTTGAACAGGAAACGCTAATTTTCTCCAAGACAGTAACAACTCTGTGCACTTCAGACTTTTGATTTGTCTCGTTCATCGTTTTTGACAAGTATTTGGACTCCAATAGTGCGAGTCCATGTGAGTATGTACCGGTATATTGGTGGTTTTCAGATTCTAAAATGTGAGGAGGTCATTGTCCCAGGTGGAAGGCACGAACCAGTAAAACAATTGCATCTATCAATTTAATTCGTTATAATTTCCCTGTGATTTTAGAATGTTTTTGTACCTGATAATTTCTATTAGTTGTTAAACTCATATTACAACAAACTTTTAGCTGTCCCCTTCTGTTTTGGAATGATCTGATGTATTTATCAGGATTTTTGTTGCAATGTAAACACTTCTGTTAATATAATATCTCAGCAAGAAGGTCCTGGGTACGAATCCCGGTCGGACCAGGGCCTTTCTGAGTGGAGTTTGCATGTTCTCCCTGTGTCTGCGTAGGTTTCCTCCGGGTACTCCGGTTTCCCCTACCACCAAAAATATGTACAATAGGTCTGGCATGCGCCTCTTGTTCGGCGACCCCGCTCCCATCTCTGTGTGGAGTGACAGGACAAGTGCCCAAAAATAACAATTGTAAACCGCTTTGTGACTCTGGTCTGTGAAAGGCGGTATATAAATAAAGATAACTATATAAATAAAGATAACTAATAATATTGGGCTGTTAAATGTATGGATTCATTGGAACTCATCAAATATTTTCAATAACCTTCAACAAACAAACATGTGCTGAGAGACGTGGTTTTAACACTTTATTATTCATGTAAAAAAAGACATGGGATTCTACTTCCACAAAGTCTCATTTTCTTGTACTGTCCAATCATTTTCTATCTTGCGTGAATCTTCATTTTGAACTATCATAGAAACAATATAGTCATAATAGAAAAGTTCCTACTGTAGCAGGTGTAAAAAAAGAAAGTTGGTTAGCTGAAGTGGTACTAGAAAAGGTCAAACATTATTACTACTTTTAGTACTTTGAAAGCCACGTTATTCTCAGTTTCTCCTTTGTGTCAAAAGTCTAAGAACCGTTGTGATTGGTTAATGCATTTTCATCAACATTGTTAGTTGCAACCCTGAAGACGAAGAGAAAATGTCCGTTATCATATGTTATAATGGCTCGAGTGTGACTTTGGCCTTATTTCCAGCCCATGTATTTAAGAATCAACTTTCTAAATATGAAGTAACTGACAAGCATCGTCCTTTAGGTTCTCTCAGTGTAAGCATTATTTTAAATTGGTTTTAAAATTAGGTTTGTAGCCTTATTGGATTTCCTCTTGCTGACAACACAGAGTGAGTTGTGGATTGGGCAACATGTCTCAAGCTCACTATGTTAGGGTTGTAAAAAACTAACAAATATCAAAGATACATACAAAGAGAACATCATTGAGAAATACGGTATTAGCTTAACCGTAGGGACAAAATCAAAAATATACCTTGAGTTATTTTTAGATCCTTCCACGCTAATATCGAGAATGTCCCTTCTGTCTCAGAGCTCATGTCTCAGTCCTGTAATAGTATGATGTCACTGCACCACTATCACTAGTTTTCACATCTAGCCAATCAGCTCCCAGCCCAAAGCATCAAATAGTGACTCATAAGGTTCTTTGAATGCAAAAGATCAAATGGTTTCTAATAAGATAATGCCAGTGTGTTGTGGTGTGATTTCTTTACAAAGTTTTACTATTTCTGTTGAGACAAACAAATGTATTACGCAATGTGATAAAAAGTTATGTACCCCAGCTTTAACTCACCGTTTCTTTCAGGAAGGAACGCTGGTGGTTGGAGGACCTGGGAGCTTTTACTGGCAAGGTAACGACAGCGTATTTACACATATTCTGCATGTTGCGGTGACTTTGTTGTCGGAAAAAGTTCAAATGCTTGTGACTTACCAGCGTGACACAGTTTCCAGTTCAAAGCTTGATGGAGTGGTTGGAAAAGGCAGTACATTTTCATAGGCTCCCGACTTTGAGCCGAACTCCATTCTTGATGCCCTGTGGAAGAGTGAAGCAGGAAGTGAGTGTTTGGGGTTGGTAATGAACTGATCAGAGGGTAATGGAGTGGAGAGAGAGGAACTACCCCTCTGCCCACGTGCGATAAAGCAGAGGAAAGACATGGAAAGAGTCACATACTGCGAAACATGTTCTTGAAGTTTATTTTAAGCACAGTTGCATTTGAGAAAGTGCTTGTATTTTTCATATCGTCGAAGAGACTAAACAAGCAAAATGATCTTTTCACAACTTTTGACCATGTCGTAGTGCAAGAAGGAGCTACTGCGTGGCCTTCATCCCCACCACTGTCAGACTGTACAATAAGTCAATGACGACCTGCACTAGGACTGCAAACTTGCACTGCTGTTGTCACTTTTTAATTGTACATGAAATACTTTTATTCCACTTAAGATACTCTATATTTTTTCTTTTTGCACACCCTGAGTGATCTTATGCCAAATGTAACATGTTCATTTCTCCATTGTGAGATCAACAAAGTTTTATCTTATCTCTTAATTATTTCCCCTTGTCATTTTCACACTCAAAGTTGATATGTGCTTGCGTCAGTTGCTGCATGTTTGAATTATTAATATTCTCCTGAAGCCGAGACTACCGTTTGGCTCCAATGACCACCAACAACGCAACATGCCCACTGTTACCACATAAAGCTGGGGGACATAACTTTCAAACCACAGAAACTGAGACTGTGTAATAAAATCTGTCAAATCTTTAGATCAGTTTTTTCAGACTGAAAAGTGAAAAGGAGAGGACCACCCTCACTCAATCAGCTCTCTGCCCAAAGGGTCAAATAGTGACTGACAGGGCTCTTTCTTCTATTTTGACCAATCAGCACGTCACTGATCAGAGCGGAGCAAGAGCGATCCAAGTTTGAAAACACATGGATTTCTGAAGTTTGAAAAATTCAGAAGGACAAGGGACACTGAAATCTCCATAAAATCCCATCTTAGTGAAAGATGTAGGCTTCTTGTCAGCTGTGGATGAGACGTTTTAGTTAACATTGAGGTCTTTGGGAAAAAAATTCTTACAGCCCGTGTGATGTTAAGCTGCAGCGCCATTGGTGGCCCCTTGTCTATGTGGAGAGGGGCTTAAGCAAGACCCTTTCCAGATAATATAATACATCCATGTTAAAATTACTGATAATCCAATATCAATTACCCACAAGAAAAATGCCATTATAAAGAAAATGAACCTTGTGAACTGAGACTTTGATCTGGCTTGAATCTCAAATGAGCAATTTTCCCATAGAAATATTCAACATTTTATTCATAAAATAAAATGTTGAACAATTATTTATAAAATGTTTACTTCATAAGCATTATTTGATACATTTTTGATCGACTGATAGCACTAGATTTCAGTTGTACTAAATTTAAAGTATTGACCAATGCTTTTCATAGATTTTCACTAATAGCAGAAGCATGTTATGTATTTTAGCTGCAAGTGTTTTGTTGTTGTTTTTATACATTGAGAAAGAAAACCGAAAACAACTGTGTGCATTCATCAAGATTCCGAATCCCAGGACTGCAATCAAAAGCTGAAGGTGTGTTTGAGATAAAACCTGGAAGATGGATGTGCGGCTTGATAAAACGGCACTGAGCTCAGGGGCTGGCTGCTTGTAAATGTAGAATTCAGCTGTTGAAGACAAGTGTTTGACTCCCTCAGAGCTCCACGTGAGGGGGACACAGCTGGACTGCCTTGGAAACACCTTTTGATCATTATGGAGAGAATTTATTTGTTCTATGCTTGAAATGATCATTTCCAGTTCATTAGTTAAACGAGCGAATTACAGACAGGGTTACTTCGAGGGCTACGCGATTCATCACAAGTTGACACAAAGCAGAATTTTAAAGGTCTGGAAGCGGCAAACAGAAACTATAGGCTTCTGTTTAGAAATGTTAGAAATACATGAAAATATAGTTAGCAGTAAATTTGTCTTCACTAAAATACCATTCTCGCTAAACTAAACAATTAGAATGTGCCGCCACCTGTTTGTGAAAGCCTGATCCTCAGAAGCTAAGCAGGGCAGGACCTGGTCTCTACTCTGACGGGAGACCTATGGGAACACCAGGTGCCAGAGTGGGGCTTCTGCAGCTGTACAGAGGCAGCCTTTCCTCGGTGCATGGAGGCAGTGGATTCCCTACTCGTGCTGACACTCTATCTGAAAATGAAGTTCCTCATGGATAAATAGTTATTTGAATTTGAAAGTACAATACTGTTGTTAGGCTGTTGTCCTTAGGCAAGACACTTCACCCACATTGCGTGATTGTTTGGTGGTGGTCGGAGGGGCTGATGGTACATACTGGTGGCCTTGCTTTTCTCAGTCTGCCCCAGGGCATCTGTGGCTACAATTGTAGTCTGTCGCCACCATGTATAGAATCAATAAATCATGCCATGTGCACTATATAAAACCAATGCATTAACATCAGAATAGTTTCTCAAAAAATTACAATTTTATTTCACAAATGTGTTTTGGCATAAATACAGTAGATTAGCTCAAGTATGGGACCTGAGCTTTTTTGGAAAATTAGGAACATGCCTGCTGGAATTTGTGGGAAAACATATTCTGTATCACAAATGCATGTAGCTGAATGTGCAACAACAGAGACAGGACCAAATGAAAGGGGCTGAAAGAAGATTACATTTAAAGATGGTTAACACGATGCCGCTGCAGAATCCAGATGTTACTAAAGCTGGTGTTTCAATCCTCTCAGACGTGCAGAGCTTTTACAATGACTATATTGTGTCCTGAAGAGTTCAGAAACAAAGGGCTTTTTACTTTTGTCTTACCGTAATGATGGTTTTTATTGATGCCTTGTAGCTAATGGCCGAGATCAGAAGCAGATTTGTACGTTCTTTAGCAACATAAGATTCAGTGATGCTGTTATGTCATCCGGCTCAAAGTAAATAGATCTCTTCAGCATTAAAATCTCCTATTTGTTGATTTGATACAGATTGGGTGGAGTGATCTCTTGCAAGTTTAAATGACAGGACTCTTTGGGAAGATAACGCCTGCTATACACGACTCAAAAGATATTTATTAAAAAGAAAAAGGAGGTTTGGTACATCTCAATCTGTTGTTGGAGAATCGACAACTTTTTGATTTGCTGTTGTAATTTATGCAAAAATAAATGGAATCTAACTGAAATATAATCCTCATGGCTTTTTATTTGTTTATATAATTATCACTGGAAACAATCTCTGCACAAATCACCTTTAAAATCATGGTTAAAATTGTGTTTGTAAAAAAGGGTGTAAAGCTGCCAGAGAGAGAAGAGACAAGAGAATAACCAACTGTTGAACCAAATGAAAAATTTCAAGATGAATTTGACGGACTTCTAATTTTTGTCATCGTAATAAAGTTTAAAAAAGACCAGGGGAAAGACCAGGGGAAATATGATATAAAGTTGGGGTGGTATAATTACTATGTTTGGGCCAATCCAGCAGGATAAGATTTTGGACACTTATTCCAAGTTGTCTACGGAAGCATGCCAGAACAATATTCTCTGTGGAAAATAAGTATTTGGCAGTTGCCATTTGTGCAAGTTGTTCCATTTAAAAGAAGGATCAAGGGATCCTTTCCATTATGTCAACTGTGAGTGACAAATGTGAAAAATCCTGGAAATAACATTGTATGATTTTAAAACCATACTTTTTAATGTAAACTTTATGACAAAGGTTTCCTGTAAGTCTTCACCATGTTTGCATAGTTGGTATTTTGTCCCATTCTTCCATGCAGATCTTTTAGGGGCTGTTTTATTGGATTTTCACAAAATATGTTGTTTAATAAGCAGAATGTCCCAGACTCCTGTGTACCTCCTCAACAAATATTTCATCCAATCTTTAGCGTATGATATATATTATATTTGCATTTATCTTTTGTATGATGTGTAATTTGTCAACATTGTTTGATTTAATTAAAGTAATTTGGATCGAAATCAATACATGCTTGGACTGGACCAAAACTGGACCAATGTATTGCAGACTAATAGAACCATTTTATGTATAATAGTGCCTTGTGTTCTATTATATATATTAGAACACATATATATTTCTTTCCTGAGAAAAAAAAGTCATGTATCTCTTGCATTAGTATTCCATATTAACCTCTTTCTATAAGTGTATCTCTTGGAGTCCACAAGTCCAGCTCAATGATCTGCATCCTCCAGTGGGAATCTTCTTGAGAAATCCCCTGTATCTTGTTATCGCACAGTGAAAAATGCATTGGAATTAGACACTGCTTTGAACGATGCATCCGCAAGCTCCACTCAGGGACAGTAGGCCTCATTCATCATACGCAGAGATCGTATTGTGATGTATTATTGCAGAGATAACTCAAGGGAAGACTTCAGGGCAGAGTTGAGGGGGGGTGAAGAGGGCGCGTTTCCCTCCGTCAGTCCACACACGCACATAAAGCACAATTTATCGCAGGTTGAGGCAGTTTGCTGATAAAAAACATTTGTTTGTTTGACCCTCTGTGCAACAGCCGAGGATAACTTTTGTTTGCGTGTCAACGGGAGGGCACTGCTGCATAATTCACCAAGCTCTCTGCAAAGGACACGGATATTTTCTTTGGAGTATTTTCCCAAGTTATTTCTCTGGTAACGATGTGTTTTAGTTTTCCTCTGGGAGAAATTGGACGCGCCGTTGGACACTTGTGCGTTTGAACCGGTCAAGATAGAGGCTCAGGATCTATGGCTACTGCTCAGGCTGAGTAATGTCAAAGGTGCTTCTCTGGCATAATGATGTATGTTCTATAGAAAAAACAGAAATGGAACAAGACAATTTATATATATATAAAAACCTTTTGCCATAATTTAGCCATGTATGTTTTATTATTAGATATGATGGTTCTCCGAAGGCCAAAACGATGGATATGGTGCTATACTTGGAACACAAAATAGTTTCTACAAGATCAAACCAGGACAGCTGGGTCTTCTCAGGTTTGAAGGCCTGAAAACTCTGCTGGACTAAAATGTCATCTTTAAAATGGAAATCATTGTTTGTTTATCTCTAATAGATGAATGGCTGGGCGAGTTGGAATAATAAAAACTAAAAAAATCTATAAACTGCTCGATCTCGATATTCTATTTCATATTTGATTTTTGATTTTTATAGAATTTCATTGTATACAGGCAGAAGCAAACACTTGTTAAAGGACATAGTGAACATTCAAACCAACCATCAGTGATTGGTGAATTTTCTGAACAATACTGGAAAACGCGATAATGATCAATTCAAAACTCTCAGTAAGCTATAATTAGGATGTAACATTGAAATACATTGTTTTCAAGCAAAAGTTTGTTTCCTAATTTTAAGAACGTGTTGGACAAAAAATCTGAATTAATCTCGAGAGAAATTCATTTTCTCAGCTTTGTTTCTGTGTCTTCCTATTCAAAATATTCCCTTTTGATATTAGTTTTAGAGTCAAAACTAATTGATTATTAGTCATTACTTATGCAGTGTCATGTTGTGGAATTTTTCATTTATTTTGTCTTTGTTTTCATTTTGGTTCTCTTGGGTTGGTTGATGTTTTACTCCCTGTCCTGTTCCCCTGCTGATAGTCTGCCGCCATAATGTGTTTCACCTGTGTCTCTGTGTCTATATGTCCCCTGACTTGGATTCTAAACAATGATTTTAATGAATCAATGATCAATTAATTTATTGTCAAAATTATTGTTTATTACAGCTCTATTTTGTTTTCTTCATTGCTTTGGCGAGCAAATGTAGAGTAACTCTGTTGATAAGATAAGATAGACTTTTTTGATCTCACACTGGAGAGATGTACATTTCACATTTGGCATAGATAGAATCACTCAGATTGTATAAAAAGTGGCAATTGGTAGAGCGTGTGTCGTTAGAAGTGAATGTGCTCCGGACACAAACCTGATTGGTTGAACCTGCTCATGTCTCCATACACTGTGTATGAACGTGTGTGAATGGGTGATTGGTTTCTTGATTTTGTGCTTTGAGTGTCTTGAAATGGTAGAAAAACTCTATATAAATGTGACTATTCACCACTTTCACAGCTTGAAAACCATCCGTTGCCTTGAGACTCTGACAGATTAGCACGAGGCCTGGATAGCCTCTCTGTGATGCTCTTAGCAGCGACGTGATGAAGCTGAAGTCCCCTGCACATGTGGCTGCTGATGTTTGTTTGCTCTGTGTGGATCTGTGCTCAGGTCAGGTGATGACAGCTGGGATCGCAGAGATACTGAACGGATACTCGCTGAAGGCAGTGCTCCGGCGAGTGCCCGGTGAGAAGTCCACTCGAGCGGCCGAAGACTCCCACGACGACAGCTATCTGGGTAATGTGTATTCACAAGATAGAGGCGACTGCGGCTGAGAAACTGTCCCAAAACATAGACCCGTCTGAGCACCAATGTGACAAGGTTTATTCATAAAAGGAAAATTGTAATGGATGTAATCAAAAATAGTCATATATAACAAATATTTTGAAATTCTTCCATATTGTTTGAAAATGTTTTTGTTACCAGATAAACACAGAGTAATTGCAAAAGTCGGTTTAACTTAATAACAGACTTAAAGCTGGAGTATTCAACTTTACAACCACAAAAAACTTGTCCTGTGCACCAGTATATCCCTGCACTTCCTTGTATCTGTCTGCTGTTAAACACACTGGGAAGCAGTAATGTGGGCTACAACATTAGCTTTTGAGATCAATAGCTGATAGAACTATGTCAGAATCAGAATCAGATTTTTATTGCCATGTAAGTAACAGGAAGTCACAGACTAGGATTTAGCTTTGGCTCAGTGCATCAGTCAGAAAGAGAGGTTAAGAATAGAGAATAGAGTAAGGCATAATAAAAATCAGGATACATGGGTGCATTTAAAGTATTAGGTTCTTCTATTCCAGGCAATATTAGGTTGGCGATATTATTACCATTTGATGTATTGCTAAATAGGCCGCATAGTTCAATTATTATTATTTTTTCAAGTAGCTGCAGCACTCCAACACACGTACTCACCGTAACCTTGTCTCCCCTTTAGGTTACTCTGTGGCTGTGGGAGAGTTCACAGGAGACTCAGCACAAGGTGAGAAGATCTCCCCAGTCTCATACAGACTGGGACGCAGACAGAGTGCTCACATCTGGGCTGCTCCCGAGTTCAGACCAGGGCCCTGTTGTAATGAAAACCATCTCTTCTGGTGGGGGGTCATGACCTAAAAGGGGACTTCACATGGGGGCGACTGATAGAGGAAGTTCCTGTCCTGCTTTTGTCATGATAATGATTAGTGGAGAGCTCTCTATAAGGCTTCTCTAGGTCTTGTCAAGGCTGCAGACATGAAATATTAGGTGCTTAATGGACATATGCACTGAAATCACATTACAAGCAGGTGGACAAAAGCGGTATTGAGTTCATATTTGATTGGAGGAACTAGATATCATGCAAATAAGCCAAAAATTACTGAAATAAGAGACAGCTTATTGCACTTTAGCTACACTTTATGCACGCTGGTGACTTGCCAGTTTAGTCTGGTGTGTTTTGATTCCAGAGTTTGAAGGCTTTCGGGCTGAGCTCTGAAGTCCAATGAAAAGCATGTGTGACAAGCCATCAGCTTTCAGTACCACAAATGAAACACATAAGCACTTTTGACAAAACACTGTTCTTTTATTTAAAATACAGAATACCAAAACAAAGCCTGCCTCCGCCACAGTCACGCTGCCCGCAGTTTCAGCCGGTTTCATGTTTTTATAGCTTCCTCATCAAGCTCAATAAATCGCTCATTATTTTTCGTATTTACTAAAGTTTCTAAAAGTGGTCAACCGATGGCATTTTGATTATTGAAATACGAGTTGTATAGCTACATAAATTTCAATATGCTTTCCTCATTATACACAAAAAAAATCAATTTATGTAAAAAAAATAGTTGCATCTCTTCTGTATTTGCTGAAATGTGATTGTTTTTCGATTGCTCTTTATCAATCTTTATCAATGTTGTTCTGACCTAAAACATGACTGATCAATTAAACCATATAATTCTTTTCAATAAATACAAAAAAATAGATTCATGAGGTTTTTTTTTTTTCATTTTATAATCTGCACAGTTTATTATTGGTTTGTGCAGTGGAGCAAATGTCAAATATAGGTATTGGCTAAAACAGGGGTGTCCAGACTTCTTTTTTTCATCATTAAAAAGGAAAGCCCTAGTTTGTATGCACAGTTTAACAGAACTGTTTTAACCTGGATTTGAACATTGTCAGAGAAGAAGCCTGTCTCAAAATTTCAGGAAGACTGTTTCAGAGTATAGCTGCGTCTGAAATGCTACCTCCCCATGTTTAGCTCTGACTCTGGGCACCAACAGGAGGCCAGTCCCTGTGCTCCTCAGAGTCTGAGTTGGTTCATATGGCACTAACATATGTTTACTTATGTACTTTGGTGCGAGGCCATGGAGAGACTTGTACAAAAGTCTACAAGTACTTAGGGGTAATACTTCTGTTGGTCTTCCTCTGCTGTTTCTAGGTATTTCCACGTTGTTCTTATATTATTCTCCGTAAACCCCAACATTTTAGCCCTCATTTCCTCACATTTGAACATGATATCACTCGTCCCTAAAGTGAAAGTAGTCGGATATCCAAAAGTAGTCAGAGTCCAACTTGTTGTAATGAATGGGCGGACCTGATGCAGAAGTGACAAAAACATCTGTATTTTTATGCTATTTGTTACCACTGGTTTGAAAAGTGACATTATACTTGATTGGCTCTTGGCTGAAGGAGGATTTTGACCTTCTTATTTACTTTAAGTTTATTTGTATAGCACAATTCATACACAAGGCAACTCAAAGTGCTTCTACACAAAACTACTGTTATTGTTGCACTCCTGGATCCCTTACGCCAACATCCTACCTCTCATCGTAACTCTCACCGCTTCTCTTTACTAATCACTCTTTAATTGTGTCTTTACGAGTTAACCTACCTACCCCCCCAGACAACCCCAACAAAGGCCCTAGCTTTGCCCCCAATGCGAGCGGCTCTTAAAGAAAGACTTAAGAGCTTACACATGCCACTTGATGAGTTGTGTTGTGGTGCCGAGCTTGTTGTGGTCGTGTTCCTCAAAGCGCCAAGAGCTGGCTGTGACTGCGATTCAAGATTTGGGGCTCTGAGGAATTATTTGTGGTGGAGGTTTTTTTGGTTTTGATAGTGCGTTAGGAATAGAAGGGTGGGTGGGAAGCTCTCATCAATCAGTCCCATGCGGAGATCATGGCGCTTGATCCATCCATGCTTTGACACCAGCGCTGACAGGGTGGGCTCCGCGAATGAGGTTTTTCAGTTTGTTGAAATGGTCTGTTTGTGACATTTTTGATCAGAAATGTTCCCATGCATAGTACACACACACAGACAGACACATACACACACACACACACACACACACACACATACAAATGCAAATGCACATACAGATATAATTCAATTTAAGTGTTTATTTGGGCATTTGGAAGATATAAAATGAATAATATGAAAGAAAAGTACAGAAAAGAGACTCTCACATGTGAACACACACTCTGAATGAACTCTGCTTTTGTGTTTTCTCAGAGCTGATTACCGGAGTCCCGCGAGGAGCGCAGAATTTTGGATATGTGAGTAAGACGCTGTGGATGAGAAAATTTGTAACAATAAAACAAACACACAAACCAGCAGAAATGGGAGACTGAAAGTGTTCTAATTATAGCATTGTTGAGTTATCTTCAGTGCTGCACGGATAATGAAACCAGCAACATGAACCAATGAAGCCAATATTTCAATCGTGCATTCTGAGCGTCCCATCCCATCTATAAACCATAATTCAAATAAATATAAACCGTCCAGTAGTTTTTGTGCAATCTTGATTCACTTATGCACACCGCCATTGCTCTCCCTTCAGTCCAAGCCTGACCTGACTAGACTACCAGTCCAGAGCCCCTCTCCTGGGGCTTGCTTACTTTCTTTGCCAATTTGTCTCACAGATGTACAGTATCTATCTACATCTTGTGCAACAACCAGGAAAAACGTTTGTGAAGAAAAGTTTAAATTTGTTTTTTCAAATTAATCAGAAATTAAATTAAATTAGTCATTTGAATTACAATTATCCAAAGGATTTTTTGTAAAAGGAGTCAGTCAATTTGTCAACCAGACTTCAACCCTAGGCATAGTACTGTTAAGATATAGTGGTACCTACATAATTATGATATGACAGAATATTCTAATCAATATCAAAATATCTGCTTCACCCAAAGGAGACTGATGGAGGAGCTATTCTTTTATGACATGCTCTTAGCTCAAACCAAACAATTCATATGAACTGTATTTTTAATAAAGAGGGGTCATAGATAATCATATTAGAGAGCACAATCAGGTTAAAGCTACTGTACTTTAGGTGGCTTGCAAACTATTTAAGTTTTGCAAGCCACTGTTTTTTGTGAAGTGAAGTGAATTATCACAAATAATAGAGAAAATCGGATGTATTTTTGGGTTTGACCCTACAAGCCTTTCACATTTTAAGACTATTGTCAGAACAGACAATAGTCTTTCCACAGACCTTCATGTGTCAACAATTAAGATGTACATTTATTTAGTTTATTTAGGCTTGGAAATTGTCTGAGCTTTCAGAAGCTGATCTAATTTAGTCTCAAATAATCCTTCAGTTATTGTTTCCTTGCTATTTTACTCGTTAGCAGCCATGTTGGTTTTGATAGGGACGGACCATATGCCTCCCTAATTGGTTAATCCAGCTGTCACTCTCACCCTTTTGAACTTTGGGAGATAAAATCAGTTCCCAGGATACACTCTCCTTTGAAATGTCCAGGAGAAGCTGGTCTTATCGGACCAGGAAGGAAATTTAGTTAAAGGACTAGGTAAATGTTTTATACAATTAATAATATACCTATTGTTGTTCGAATCTATAGGACTCTAAATAATAGTGATAAATATAAATCAATGCATTTTTTTTTATCGCAAAATGGATAGTGGCCCCTAGGGGTGGGAACCTAAGGGTACCTCACGATACGATACGATACAGGTTACAAAGCTCACGATAACGATAATATCACATTATGACGATTATTGATATATTGGTCAGAAATATACAATATGCCAATTTATGGCATAAATAAAAGAAAAAATACTCTTTATTTCATGATAAATAGAATGGAGATGCGTAATGTAGCCATATATTGAGTATTGATACCAATTCAAAAAAAAAAAATCGATATCGATACTTGGCAAATGCATATCGATAATCGAATCGCGGGAGAAAGTATTGCGATATCACACCCCTAGTGGCCCCACCTATTATTTTCAATCTCAAGTTGGGCAATACAATATTAACATTGAGAAAAAGTTCTGCTAGAAAATATATTTGACAAACTCTCTATATTTGCCACGTTTTCAATGCAGTCCTGTTATGTAAGCTGGTTCTAAGCACTGCTGGATGTTGCTGCACTATCCTACAGAAACATGAAGTGACCCAGGTTAATACTTGAGTAAACACGTTAAATCCGTGTAGCTGGAGGTGGCTACATGCGTACACATGACATGTGTACGCATGACAGCGTACACATGACAGCGTACGCATGACATGCGTACACATGACATGTGTACGCATGACATGTGTACGCTGTCCTCTGCTTGGGAACATGTCCCCAGGGCGATCACTGTCAATCCACTTAAATGGCACAGAGCTTCCGCCGCATGTGGAGGCTGCTGACCTGGCCTGACCCCCCTAACCCTTCTCCACACACAAGTGACCCCTGACTAGTGCTGAGGCTGGAGCGTCCCCTATGTGTTAAGAAGAGGCTCAAAACGAGGAAATCGATAAACAGAGATATTGAAAAGATTGGAATTACTTAGAAATGTCCATAAGTTAGAGTTTGCCTTAATGTGGAAGATGCTGGTTAGAAATAGATCAAGCAGGCTCTATGAAGGGGAATCTGGAACCAAGTGACAACAACCAATCAACCAATCAGGAGGGGCGCTGGTCTTTTCAAGCTCGAGGTACTTGTGGTAGCCGATTTTGGGGAAAGAAGGCACATGATTGGTCAGTTGCCAGGGGACATATCATAAACATACCAAATCAATGGCATTTTCCTTTTTTTAACTCTCTGCGTAGTGTTGCTCCTGATATTCGTTCATTATTTTATGACCCAAACATTACACAAACATGCACACCTACACACACGCACGCACACACACACACACACACACACACACACACACACAAACACAGACTAGACTCATGCCCAAGACCTCTCTGACTATACCCCTCACCCCCTTCACTCACTCTATGCTGAACCCATCACTCTCAATGCAATCCTTTGAATAGTCGCCGTCAGGACTGATCCAGCTTCTTCCGAAACCCATCCCAGAACTCTTGAGTGCCGATAAGTTAGCAGTTAAACAAGTGATTTAATATTAACATTTACACCTCTCTTCCCGTCCGTAAGTCTATCCCTGTTAAGTGCATCTCTGAGACATCTGTGAACAGGTCAGCGTACGTCTGTGTGTTTGTGCCTCAGCCTGTAGCCCACGGCAGTCCCCATGTGGTTGTTATTTTAGGTCTTATGAAGGAATCTCAGCCCCCCTTCCTCCTCTCCAGCGCTGGGTTAGGACGGGGGGATCAGGGGAAAATGTTAAAACACCCAGAGTGGATACCAAGGGGGAAGTTTATTGAAATCTAAGCATTTGGATAAAATTTTGTATGCGGTTTTGTGAATTTTTTGTGCATTCTTCATATGCCTGTTTGTCAGATTTTGTGGAGAACAAAGCCCTTATAAATAAATTGAATAGACTTGTGTTCTGTGACTGATCAGAAGTCTGTTTCTGCTTGTTTTAGGTGGCCGTGATTAACTCTACCAACATGACCTTCCTCATGAACTTCTCTGGGGAACAGGTAAGTAATTAAACATATTTAGGCTGAAGGACTAGTAGCAGGCCAAGGCTGCAGCCACGGCCTCAATCAATGACTTTAGATTATGGCGTGAGAAAAGAAAAAGCGGTCTGTTGGCGGCAAATAAGACCTCAATTGAGATGTTCTTTGTGTGAATATTGATAAGCTTACAGGGAAATATGAATAATCTGGAGGGTTGGGGCTGGTATCAACACATTAGCCACATTGATTCGGGGCCAAGGCTTCATCAAATGTAAATGCTAAGAATGTAAACATGTTGGTTTTAAAGGAACATGGTAAGCTGTAAAACTAGCATTGAAGCTAGCTACTGCCGAAAAAAACGTTTCTAGAGAGGGACAAGAAACATCTTCTTATCAACACATTTTATGGAATTAATATTTCTTACACATTTATACATTTATTATCTTAATCATGAATTACCAATAAATATATATGCACACATTCTTTTTAGACATGCACGTCTTTATTGACAGTAACCTTACCCCATATGTGTTACTGTCAAGAAATACTTTATTTTATCTAATAATCGATTCATCATTGTTTAAACTTACATATACTTGAACATGCAGAGAAGAGGTTTTATAACTGCAGAATGACATGAAAATGTGTTTACAAAGTATTTTCATTTTTAACCAAAACAAATGTATTAAAAAGTCCTGTATTCACTGATCTGAGTTACATGAGTCGTAGACAAGCCAGGGAGGAAAAAGGAGGAAAAAAACCAAAATGTGTTTATGTAAGAGACTCAATCAAGATTATAGTTGGAATATGTTTTACTGTCAAGCGATACTTTATCTGCGTACAGGAGTAACATTTCTGCTCATTAGGCTGCCTCTTGTGCAGTTTCCTCTAAATTTGTATGTGTAGCATTTCTATATTATTTTCTTCCTTTAATAATATAGTGATTTTTTGTTTTTAGATGGCGTCTTATTTTGGTTATTCTGTGGCTGTCGCTGATCTCAATGCAGATGGGTGAGTCTCACATTTCTTTGCAAAATCCATTTCTTTGCATGTGAGAATTGCAATTCATCTAGACCTTTTAATTCAGTGTAAGGAAAATCTGTGAGTTGAAAAAGAGCAGACACAAAACTACACAGATTTTAATTATTCATGACCATTTAATTCTTCTGAAGCACCCACTTTCTCAAGCTTTCTTCAACATATATGGAACTACAGCGCTGTTATACTCGTGAATAATTGAATAAATCGTTTAATACCTTGTAAAGAATTGTAGTAATGCAGTATCATACTTTCCAGACACCGTCACTCCTATGTGAAGAAAATGTTGCAAAAACAGAAGAAAATGATGTTGCCCATAACTGGGCGTCTATGCTTAGGGATATGGTATATTTGTTAAAATGTGGCGCAAACGTTAGACAAAAGGTCAAAAGTGTTTCAGTGATGCTTCGCCGGGTACAGAACAGTAGGAATGAGAAGCACAGAACACAAAATAATTCACATCTGCAATAATTCTATACTAAGATAAAATGAAATATCTAATCTAACACAATAAAGAAGCAAGTATAACATCTAACATCTTTAAGTATAAAATCTCTAGCAATATGAGGGAATGGACCTCGTGGCTAAGTAAAGTGACATGTGGTTCTAAATAATGCACATTCTGTGTCACGAAACCCATAAAGCAGAGCTGCAGAAATAAGGGATTTAATAAAATTAGATACCAATGAAAATCCATAGTAAACACAAAAATTTACCGAAAAGGGAAAAGGAATGACGATGACGGAAAAAGGAAGTTTAGATACACTAACGACAAACGAGACACAGGCGAGACACATGAGGGGCAGGAAACCGGGAACAGGAAGTACAACTATAGAAGACACAGTGGTTAACGCATTACAAATTAAAAACAGGAACAAATCTAAACCATGACATTCTGACATTATTCAAATTATTATATATTAGGGGTGATACAATGTGTAGAAGTATATTATATCAAACTTAAGATCACTGAACCACTACTCTTTCACCTGTGCAGATATGTGACTGGTCTGAGCCGTCTCTGTGTCTTGTCTCAGGATGGACGATGTGTTGGTGGGAGCTCCTCTGTACATGGAGAGAGAAATGGAGAGTAAACCTCGGGAAGTGGGCCGGGTTTACCTGTATCTGCAGACGGCTCCGCTCGCCTTCACCAAACTTGTGGCCCTCACCGGAACATACACCTTTGGGCGCTTCGGCACGGCTATAGCACCCATGGGCGACGTCAACCAAGACGGATATAACGGTGAGCAGACGGGTCATGATTGTTGCTGGGACGACTTCAACTCAACTCAAAAATGTTATTGTCTCCAAGGGGATATTTTTTTGCGTGTGGTGGTGCTGTAAAATGAATACTATGGCAATACAACACAATACAATACAATTATTACAACCACCCTCCTCTCCCTCTCCCTACTGAATTATGGACAGTAACAGTGCAATATATTTTAGGGCTCATTATAGACTTTTATGTGGGATAATTTTTGAACAAAGCATAAGAATACAGAGAATGTGAAGATAAAAAACTATTTGGCGTTGTTCCCAAACCGGTCTGACCACTGGGGTGATAGTCTAGATGGAAGGAGCTGTATCTGATTGAGCAGAGGGAGCTTTCCAAGGCGCTAAGTAACTTATCTTATTACTTACATTTTGGAACTGCCATCTTAGTGTTAATCAAATCAAATAATTAACGTAGTAACCGATTCATAATTTTTGAACCCTACATAGACTTAAACTTTTATTCTTTTGATCAGACAGGCTTATCTGCATGTATACACAATCCTTACATTTCAGCAGCCTAATTAATAACAACATTTTCTAAAAAAAGTGTAAGAAGAGTAGATATGGTTCAATCCAGTAACGGTCTGATTTTCACACCAGGGTTGTACACGTGTCTTTCTCAATGGAATTAAATTGGTCGAGGCAAGTGATCCAGTTTCACTAGTGTTATGTAGACGCTCTCATAGTGAAATGTATTCCTCGGCTGAATCAAATCAAAGATGAATTGTGTAGTTATTCTGACGTAATGTCCGCCACCTGCTTTTGTCTCCAATGTCTGATTGGAGAGGAAAACTGATAAATCATTTGACTGATTCACACCACAGACTAAATATTAGGAGTGGACTGAGCTCTGACTTCAACCATAGTTTTTGCCTAGAAGCCGATTTGAACATGTATGCTAGCTGGAGCCAATTTGCTAGCTGGAGCCAATTTCCTTGTTAGGCATTTGTTCCGACGGTGTTAGCTTTGCGTCGTAACAGGAGCAGATGTGTTGCTAAGACAGTCGCTAAAAGGCAAGCTCGAGTTTCCCCCCATGAGTGAAGGCATCTGATTGGTCAACCCTTAATGGCTCATATCTGGATTTACAAAGATGATATCAAAATATAAACGCCATGACCACAGAGAGCGCCAACCCACAGTTTACATTTCAATGTAAGTCAACACAATAAAATATAATAATTATATAATTATATAATAGTTTCATATTGTAAATTGTAGTACAGAAGTAAATGGACTTCTGAGTTTCACCTGTCGACACTATATGAAACTCAAATAAATCATATAACAGAATATCAATCTGGACCCTCCATAAATCAGCTTGTGGTACATTCTCATTACATACAGTAATTTGGGGAAAAAATGATCAAAGACGTTCTGTTGACCTCTATTCCAAAGTAATGCATTACAAGCCGAAAAACCTCCCCCAGATAAATTACAGCTACAAAATCCTGTGAGATCGTTTCATTGGAAAATTAGTCTGCGAAATGATTGCAGATGAGCGCTGGATTTGTGTGAACGCTTGCGGCTCCAAATGGAGAGTGTTATGGACGGACGAGAGACTAATCGTTGGCCGTGTTTCCTGCGATGTCTCCGTCTGTTTTGTCTTTGGCGGAGGAAATCCTATCAGATGCTCTTGTGAGGAGAAACGCTAACCTCTTCAGCCAATCAGGAAGTGGGTCGATGAAAGGTCTGCCTGTGCGAACTTCTTTTCTCCTTCTGTGATCAACGGCTTTAAGGCCACATGTGAGTTATTTTTAACCAGCCAAATGTGGCCAAGATAAAATCATCTGGTCCTGCAGCTTGACTTGATTCCTCTTGTGAATTGTTTGCTTTATCCTCAATTGATTGGAAGAATACGCACGCAAAATCTAACGTCGACAAACGCCACAGCCACAAAATTCAATTCAACGTTATGTATCATTGTAGAGCACAAATCACAGCAGTATCTCGGAGGACTTTACAAAACTTTTAAATTCACTTAACTTTAACTTTTAAATTCACTAACACAGATCAGGCAATGAAACTATTCAAACACCCATCCATCCATCCATTTTCTTCCGCTTTATCCGTTGCCGGGTCGCGGGGGCAGCAGTCTAAGCAGAGACGCCCAGACTTCCCTATCCACACACACCTCCTCCAGCTCGTCCGGGGGGACCCCAAGGCGTTCCCAGGCCAGCTGAGAGACATAGTCTCTCCAGCGTGTCCTGGGTCTTCCCCGGGGCCTCCTCCCGGTGGGACGTGCCCGGAACACCTCCCCAGGAAGGCGTCCAGGAGGCATCCTGAACAGATGCCCGAGCCACCTCAACTGGTTCCTCTCGACGTGGAGAAGCAGCGGCTCTACTCCGAGCTCCTCCCGTGTGACTGAGCTCCTCACCCTATCTCTAAGGGAGCGCCCAGCCACTCTGCGGAGGAAGCTCATTTCGACCGCTTGTATCCGCGATCTCGTTCTTTCGGTCATTACCCACAGCTCATGACCATAGGTGAGGGAGGGAACGAAGATTGACCAGTAAATTGAGAGCTTTGCCTTTCGGCTCAGCTCCCTCTTTACCACAACGGTCCGATACAGCGACCGCATCACTGCGCACGCTGCACCGATCCACCTGTCAATCTCACGCTCCATTCTTCCCTCACTCGTGAACAAGACCCCGAGATACTTGAACTCCTCCACTTGAGGAAGGACCTCTCCACCCACCTGAAGAGGGCAAGGCACCTTTTTCCGGTCGAGCACCATGGCCTCGGATTTGGAGGTGCTGATTCTCATCCCAGCCGCTTCACACTCGGCTGCAAACCGTCCCAGTGTATGTTGCAGGTCCTGGTTCGTTGGAGCCAGCAGGACGACATCATCCGCAAAAAGTAGAGATGAAATCCTGTGGTTCCCGAACCGGACCCCCTCCGGCCCCTGGCTGCGCCTAGAGATTCTGTCCATAAATACAGTGAACAGAACCGGTGACAAAGGGCAGCCTTGGCGGAGGCTAACATGCACCGGGAACAGGTCTGACTTATTGCCGGCAATGCGGACACAGCTCTGGCTCCGGTCATACAGGGACCGAACAGCCCTCAGCAGAGGACCCCGGACCCCGTACTCCCGGAGGACCCCCCAAAGGACACCCCGGGGAACACGGTCGAACGCCTTCTCCAAATCCACAAAGCACATGTGGACAGGTTGGGCGAACTCCCATGAACCCTCGAGTATCCGATGGAGAGTATAGAGCTGGTCCAGTGTTCCGCGACCGGGACGAAAACCACACTGCTCCTCCTGAATCCGAGATTCGACCATCGGACGTAGCCTCCTCTCCAGTACCTTGGAGTAGACCTTACCGGGGAGGCTGAGGAGTGTGATCCCACGATAATTGGAACACACCCTCCGGTCCCCCTTCTTGTAGAGAGGGACCACCACCCCGGTCTGCCACTCCATTGGCACTGCCCCCGATCGCCACGCGATGTTGCAGAGACGTGTCAGCCAAGACAGTCCTACAACATCCAGAGACTTTAGATAGTCAGGACGGATCTCATCCACTCCCGGCGCCTTGCCACCATGGAGGCTGCCAACCACCTTGGTGACCTCGGCCAGGGAGATGGAAGTATCCGCCCCAACATCCTCAGCCTCTGCCTCTGTAACAGAGGACGTGACGGGGGGATTGAGGAGAACCTCGAAGTATTCCTTCCACCGCCCGACAATATCCCCAGTCGAGGTCAGCAGCCCTCCACCCGCACCATACACGGTGTTGGCAAAGAACTGCTTCCCCCTCCTGAGGCGCCGGACGGTTTGCCAGAACCTCTTCGAGGCCGACCGATAGTCATGCTCCATGGACTCTCCGAACTCCTCCCAGTCCCGGGTTTTTGCCTCTGCAACGGCCCGGGCCGCGGCACGTTTGGCCTGCCGGTACTGGACAGCTGCCTCAGGAGTCCCACGAACCATCATTGCTCGATAGGACTCCTTCTTCAGCCTGACGGCATCCCTTACTGCCGGTGTCCACCACCGGGTTCGGGGATTGCCGCCGGGACCAGCACCAGAGACCTTGCGACCACAGCTACGAGCCGCTGCATTGGCGATAGAGGAAGAGAACATGGTCCACTCGGACTCGATGTCCCCCTCCTCTGCCGGGACCTGGGAGAAGCTCTCCCGGAGGTGTGAGTTGAAAGTCCGTCTGACAGGGGGCTCAGCAAGACGTTCCCAGCAAACCCTCACTACACGCTTGGGCCTGCCAGGTCTGACCGGCCTCCTGCCCTGCCAGCGGATCCAACTCACGACCAGGTGATGATCGGTTGACAGCTCCGCCCCTCTCTTCACCCGAGTGTCCGAAACACGCGGTCGAAGGTCAGATGATACGACTACAAAGTCGATCATCGACCTCCGGCCTAGGGTGTCCTGGTTCCACGTGCACTGATGGACACCCTTGTGCTCGAACATGGTGTTCGTGATGGACAGGCCGTGACTGGCACAGAAGTCCAACAACTGAACACCGCTCGGGTTCAGATCAGGGGGGCCGTTCTTCCCGATCACCCCTCTCCAAGTGTCACTGGCATTTCCCACATGGGCGTTGAAGTCCCCCAGGAGAATAACGGAGTCCCCGGGCGGTGCACTGTCCAGTACCCCTCCCAAGGACTCCAAGAAGGCCGGGTACTCTGCACTACCGTTAGGCCCGTAGGCTGTCACAACAGTGAGAGACTTGTCCCCCACCCGGAGGCGGAGGGACGCGACCCTCTCATTCACCAGGGAGAACTCCAACACGTGGCGGCTGAGATGGGGGGCAATGAGTATGGCCACCCCAGCTCGCCGCCTCTCCCCGCGGGAAACACCAGAAAAGTGGAGCGTCCAACCCCTCTCAAGGGGTTGGGTTCCAGAGCCCAAGCTGTGTGTGGAGGTGAGGCCGACTATCTCTAGTCGGTATCGCTCAACCTCCCCCACAAGCTCGGGCTCCTTCCCCCCCAGTGAGGTGACGTTCCACGTCCCAAGAGCCAGAT